CTTCTACGAGCCCTTTCCGGAAGATCTCCATCAGATTGTCTCAGAGTCGAATCCCAGCCGCCATGCAGCTATGCGCAAGACTCTGAGCCATGGCTTCTCTGCCGCCGCCCTCGGCAGTCAAGAAGACAGAGTCCACTATTTCGTCAATCTACTCATCGACCAGATCGACAAGCGGTACACGGAGACACCAGGTGACATGACGAGATGGTACAACTACGCCACATTCGACATCATAGGAGAGCTGGCCTTCGGAGAAGCCTTTGGGTGCCTTGAATCTGGTGAGCAAAAACCCCCATACCGCTACCGCTTTGCAGGGAATGAGGCTGTTTAATATCCACGGCGCACAGGGAAGCCACACTATTGGATCGACATTCTCTTCGCCTCGATCAAGAACATCAACTTTATGAGATCATTCGAGTACTCGCCCGTCCTACGATCTCTGCTACGCGTCGCCCTCCACATGAAACTTCTGCCACGCAGGGTCTACATCCTCAGGGCGAAGATGACTAGCTATGCGGATGAGAAACTGACACGGTAAGTACAGGCAGATTCCCGCACGCGGCTCAGTCATAAGATCCTGTTAGCTAACAAACGGCCTGTCATATTTTTCCCCGCGAAAAGGCGTCTAGCGAACCCACCCCCTAGGATCGACTTTTTACACAGAATGATATCCGAAGAAAAGGAGTGGACGGGCCTTCGTCTCCAGGAGCTGCAGTCCCAAGCCACGCTATTGACGATCGCCGGCAGCGAGACTACCGCGACCGCCCTATGTGGGATCACATACTACCTCTGCCGAGACAATCGAGTGTACGAGAAGCTCACCCAAGAAATCCGTAGCGCGTTCGCCGACTTCGACCGGATCACGGGCCGAGCCACAGAACAGCTCCCGTACTTGAGAGCGGTCATCGAAGAGGGCCTGAGACTATACCCTCCCATCGCGGCCGGTCTGCCTCGCGTCAGCCCAGGCGAGACCGTGGACGGCCACTGGGTGCCCCCCGGCGCCATTGTGAATGTCAACACGTGGGTGGCGGGCCACATTGAGGCCAACTTCCGCGACGCATTCGCCTTTATCCCCGAGCGGTGGTTGGACCCGGGTTGCGAAGACGACAAAGCTGCAAGTCAGCCGTTTCTTCTGGGTACCAGAGTCTGTCTGGGCCGCCAGTAAGTTATCTCCGAAAAAAATATGAAAGCAACTGAAGACAATCGACGTTGTCCCGTGAGACTGTGACTATGAGGAGATGGCTGACTGACAGAAAAAACTCGGCATTCTAGTCTCGCCCTGTTAGAACTGCGCCTCATTCTGGCCAAAATCCTGTGGAAGTTCGACATGGAGATCAAGGACGACGCCCTCGACTGGGTCAAGGCGAACAAGAACTATGTCTTTTGGGAGAAGCCTGCGCTGCCAGTCCAGTTTCGCCGTCGAGCAGTGTAGTGTTTGGGGGGTTAGAACAGATCGGTGGCGTTGATAGGACCGCGCCATTACCTTGAGACGGTTACGAGTATTGGCGCACGCTGTTCCGAATCTGTTCCTAACAGGTATCCTCATCGACTATAGTGCCTAATAATTTCTCACGATTGTCGCGATATTCCGTCTTCTTGCTAAAATGCAAGGGATTGAAGCACTATCCCCGACACACATATTATGGGTATTTCGTTGAAGACGGTCAGCTCGATAAGCACTCGAGGTGGTTTGCAAACAGAATAGACACCATCTCATGACACTTACATCCCCTCTTCTTGTGCATGGACATGCTGCACTATCATTGGCATCGCATCCCTTCCGTATTACACTCATGATCTTACGTGACAGATTGACAGTGCCGGAGCCAAGATCTTTCACGATAACTATTCTGTAGGTATACGTGATCTGAAGGCAATTTCGCGCGGCTGCGTATTTCACAAGCACATCGTTTGGAGTCCCTCGACACAATCGTCTCGAAGAGTCGAAGACTAGTTACGACTACGCGAAGACTTTGACTCTTCCCCATCCCCAGCTTTCCACTTCACCAAACATATCGTCCCCCTGAATCCCACAAGCGACTCATTGTGCATGTTGCGTATGACGGTGATGGTGGTGGGGATGGTGAGCTTTGGCATGAAGGTCCTCCACCGGTGCGTCGACCCGATAGTTCATTGTCTGTCGCAGATCCATGAGAAACAAAGAGGCGACGCACGCCACCGCGCCAAAGGGAGCGGCAATGATAAACACGACTCTCAGAGAGTCCGCGAAGGCGTGTTTCATCGCGGCCACGCCCGATGCAACGATGGCCGACGTGACGCCTGGGATTTCAGCCACCGCACCATTGTCCCCCGCAACAAGCGCTTCGACGAAATCGCGCACCGAGCTCAACGGCAGACCGGCGGCCACAGCTGCCTTGGAAACGTAACTCGGAAGGTCCTTTTGCAGCCGACTGGTCGCAGCCGCCGAGTAAATGGCGATGAAAATGGAAGCTCCGACGCCCCTGGCTGAGATCGTCACCGCCGTAGCCGTGACGATCAGATCGTGCGGCGTAGAGAGCTGCACGCCCGCGACCACAAGGATGAGTGGAGCACCAAATCCGATCCCTGTCAGTGCCGCAAAAATCACCAGGTTGGTGGAGCTGTCGGGCTGCGTGGTGGCCATGCCGACGATGCCTGCCGTAAAGAGCAGGTAGCCGGCGAACATGAGCTCTCGAACCGTCCTGAACCTTGTGCTTAGATAGCCCCAGACCAAGGTCGACAGCCCGCAGGCGATCCAGAACGGCGTTCCTCGCGCGGTGACGAGGAACGGGTCGGTCTCAAAGAGGGCTTCGGTCCTGGAAAGAGTGACAAACAAAATCAGTAAATTCCGTATCTGGGAGCCTTCGAAGAGAAGGAGCAGCACTCACAAGCCGGGATAGAAGATCACGTAGGCAAAAAGCAATATACCTTCGACTGTGATCAGGCCCACGCAGATAGCGAATGTTCGACCGGCATTATTGTCCCCCTGGAACAGACCGTGGTGAAGAATCCCCGATTTGGTGCCCTTCCACTCGTACAGAGAGAAGGCCACAAGTCCAGCGATGCCGATGATCAGAGTGGCTAGGACACGGACGTTGGTCCATTTATAGAGTTGGCCGCCCAGGTTCAGACCCGTCAGAAGCAACGTGAGGCCAAGGGTGAGCAGACTCGAGCCCACAAGGTCGATTCGACCGATCTTCTGCCGTAGAGACAGACCATCATAGCGGGTGTGTCGCTTCGGTGGTCGATATCCAACCAGGACGCCAATGATACCAGCTCCAAAGAGGGCCATTTCGATCCACTAAAAATGATTGTGGTCAGTCCCTTTACGAACGGCAGGAAAAACATCCCATCTGATATACATACATAAAAAGTTCGCCAGCCACGAGAGCGGTTCGACCTGACTAGAGCTCCAATCGCCAAGGGGCCAGCCACAGCACCGAGACACGCACCGACGTTGACGATCGCCTGGGCCACTAGGAGCACGACCAGTTAGTGATAATTCGCGGATGGGTACACCGTGTTACTGTTGATCACCACCACTTTCTCTTCTCTTGTATTTTTTCTGGCACTTACTCGGCCTCCACTTTCGAGGAAGAATCTCGCTGGGGATACAATACATCAGGGGAACCGTGGCAAACCCAAAACCGATCAAGGTTTGGGCCGCGATGAGTCTGTACATATCATTTGAGCCTGGGGCGATGGCTGCTCCAATGAAAGAGATCACGTTCGTCCCGACAAGCAAAGTCTTGCGGATCTGGAAGGTGTCGGCGATGGAGGACAGGACCGGGCACAGTACTACCTGCACCACGTTCAGGGAGTTTGAGACCCAGGTCTCCGCCGAGCTATTGTTGAGGTCCTTGCCAATGTAGGAGAGCTGACATACAGTAGGTAAGCAAGTGTTTCCCAAAAGTTTTCTTTTGACGGGGTACAGAGGTGGATCATCCGGGAAAAGAAGCAGGAGATAACTCACCACCGCCGGCGGACTTTGGAGCGCCATGACTTGGACGAGGTACAGAGTGAATATGGCGCCCACGGCGACGTACGTACGGGCATGAAGCTCTGGTTCCTCGTCGACGTTGTCGTAGACCAGATCTGGTGTTTCCAGGTCCGTTTGCCCAACTTCGGACTTCTCTGTATGGGCCCACTGTGTGTTGTTGCCTTCATCCTTGCAGGGACCGGTCGGGGTGGCGGAAATCTGGGTCGTCCTGACCTTGTGAGTGCCTGCTTCTCCCATCGCACTCTCAACCGTCATGCTGGATGTCTCGAAATTACAGGATGCTTTTGAACCCAACCCAAACAAATGACGGTGCAATATCGTGACGGGCAGAGAGGACAGAAGACTCGTCCTTTTAGTATCGAGCCCATGATATTCCCCCCATACCCCAGATGTGTCTCCAGATTGTGGATGGCTCGGGAATCGAGATCATCCTAGGTTCCAACTGAGTCTAATATCCCAGATGGAAGCAAGCCCAGTGAACTAGGCCCGGCTTGGGTCCGAGAAGATCCTCCTATTGGTCTCTCCGCAACGAAGGGCGGAAAGTGGAGTGGAAAGTGGAGCCCGCTGTTGACCATGTCTGAATATGGTCCCTGCACTTATTCCTTGTTGCGCCGCATCCCCTACAGCTCATCAACTATGTGTCGCTATCTGCCCAATCATTAATTCCAGCGAGATATTGTTGCGAAGAGGTGCGAGAGAGCTGATTGTCTCACCACCGTGTCGAGCAGCGCGGTCGGTGCAATTTGGCAAATCAAACTGAGCTCGCCTTTCCTTGATCTTTGGATGGCCTCGAACCTAGCTTTCCTTGACCAGTTGCTTAACGAGGATTCAGAACAGCCTCGGCAACAAATAAATCGATGCGATGATTCGAGTCTGGTCACTTCATCCCCTCCCCACTCCTCATGCTCTTACTACGAGTACCTTCTTTGTTTACCCCTTCCAGCAGCCATGACAATCCCCTTCCCACAGGGCTCATCTCGGCCTCCCACCCTCCCTCCCTAAATGCCATGCTTTGGAGTCATCAATAATCCCCATACACTGTAGCCAGACCGATCGACACGCCTATATTTGGCGCAAATGATCCAATGAGATTCCCTGCATCAAAACCACAGTCGTCAGCTCTCACATGTTTTTTTATCCCACATTTCACGGACCTGGGGTTTCCGTTCTACTTACCAGGAGGTGCATAATTGCAGACCGTGAAATACGGCGGGATCGGTGGTCCGGCGTTCGTCAACCCGCCGCTGCTGCAATCCGCCGTATAGCATCCCACGCTGTTCGTCGATTTCCACACAATCTGCGTGAAATGGCCCCACTGGTTCAGCGTGCTGATATTCGGCTCCGTGCCATAGTAGATGTAGTTGTTTACTTCGCTGTTGTAGAGCCCCTCGGTGATGAACTGGCCCATTCCCAGCGGGGTGGCTGGGTATCCGGCGCCGATGTTCTGGCCGTACCCACCGCCGTTGACGTTTCTGGCCAAAGAGAAACGTTAGCTAAACAAGATCGGACAAGATATTGGCAGTCAGAGAGTTTGGGGGAATGGCTTACGTGACATGTCCATATACACAGGTCTCGGCGATCACGCGAGCTGTATCCGCGAGGCTCGATGACCAAACGAGTGGATCAGCGGAGTGGTTGGATCGATGAATATTGTGATGGCGTAGGACTGCGTTGATGTATGCGTCGTTGGTCACGACGGGGATTCCGGAAGACGTTGTGGTGGACAAGGTAGAGAGGGAGCTGCCTGGAGTATTGGATACTGACGCGGAAGTAATAGTCGACGAGGTTGGAGTGATGGTGTCAGACGGGAGAATCGGTCCGCTCATGGTAGTAGTCGTTGTCGGGACGGGAGTAGTCGTTTGGAGGGTCGAAAGGCCCGTTGTGCTCGTCGGGCAGGGACATGTCGTCAAGGTGACGAACTCAAAAGCTGTCTCCGTAAAAGTCGCCGTGTATACGAAGCTGATGCTCTGCGCTGTCGCGCCTGCAACGAGGAACAAGGGAATTAATGCTCGCATTTTGGGCTGAAGGAACGACTAAGCTGCAAAGGCAGATAATGAGTGACTGTGGTCAGATCGGCAACTAGTTGAATCTGTAAGAAGGACAAAATTCAGATGTCGCAAAGACATGTTTTGTGATTCTCGAGTATTTGGGCACGACAAGTCCCACATTCCAGAGCGATCAACAAACCTTGGGGTCCCGGGCTCGGCACGTATGTGGCCGTCGAAGCTCATACCATTGAGACCTCTGTTTTATGGTGCTCACTGATCCGTGGATAGGAGTCCCTTCTTTGCCGAAGATTACCGTTGACGACACTACCGAGACTGCACCTGGAGGGGAAAGGCAATCTGCAGTGAGTTGTAAGACATGGCCAGCCAGCTTTGCTCCTCGTTCAGGTGAGAAACAGATGTTGCTATAGCACTGTGTGGCAGTCAGCATTAGAATGAAGAGACTTTACGCAACTCTTTGGCCGCGAAGGTAGGCTGGCAGCTCCTGAATAGCGTTGATCGCGCGAAAGATGTTGTAGCAACAAAACGGTACCCCCAATTACCCATCCCTTGCTCTTTAACCTACCACGCACAGACCATTTAGCGACATGAGAGGTATACATCAATGACCGATCGGGGGATGAATGGTTTTCGGTTTAGTGGTGGTTTTCACGTCCTGCGGTGCTATTTCACCAAGGAATAGATCGGTTGCAAAGTCTTGCGGGACATGGCTCGAAGCTGCACTGAAATGCCCGGTATACCGCACTCATCATACCTCCCCATGATCCTCTCTTTCGAGGGTGCCGTGAGGACGCATATGCTTGCTCGAGCATGTATTCTGATTCCTTCGCCCCATGGCCCCAGCGACGGGTTTTCACTCACGGAAATGAGGACAAGGCTTAGCCATGTGGAGGTCAGGATGTTCTATTTTGAAGTTCAGGAATTGAACCACCAACAAAATGCTTCACTCTAATCACATCAACGGGATTGGAAGACGACTCACCGGGAAGTTCGCACCTAGTTGAGGTCCAGGCTATCCAGCAACAGGTCGATAGCTTTGGGGCGTAAAGTGGCTCAAGAATCTGGCCGCAGTCAACGAGGCATCTCTCTGTTGGGGGTCCCTCGGAAAGCTGTATGCTTGTCTTGAGTACGTGCTATTCTCGTCTTTCAGACCCCGCCATACGGGTGAAGAAGCTGCCGAGTTGACATTGCCATTCCAGTGGTCGGCGACTGTAGACACAAACAGTGACAGACCCGACGAGTGGTTATCGTTTCTCCACGCCAACAAGCTCGACTGCGCCAGCAAGGGCCAAATATGATGTAGAGAGAACAATTGGATGTCGGATCAGGGGCCGAAAGAGGCAGGCCCAGGCAATCAGAAAGCCGGGTTCTTCCATTTCCCGGGATCTCCACAGACTTTTGCAAACCCAGTCAAGAGTCCACCTTCGGGGAATAAGCCGCTAGGTGCACACAGCGCGTAGGCGATGGTAAATGGCGTGAGGCCCCAAGTGAGCCGCAGTTGCTGAAGCTGAATTTGGACGACTGGATCAGGCAGGTGAATGGTCAATCGGTTGTCCGGCCGAAGTCACCAAAGTATCATGCCAGGGGCACCGCAATGAGGCTCCCCGGTGGCTGCGGCCTGCGGGCTAAGCAAGCGAGGGCTGACTCTACCACCGTGCTCATAGGTAGAGGGTAGTGGTCAAGTTCGTGTCTGTCTCCGCGATAGCGGTCAAGCGTCGCTCAGGTGGAAACCTTGTCGGCAGTGTCATACGGTCCATGGACGACCGGTCTCATCAACCAAGATATGTGACGCGAGTAGAGTCACAGCTGACGGGCTCTCGAAGCGCCGAAGCAGATATTCGGGGTTTGTTAAACTTCAGAGCTGAGTGTGCTGTCCCGACGATATAGGTGTTGAGATTAGAGATCGTCCAATCAGCAAGGAAGCCACGTAGTGGAATTGTCATTGGTGCAAGGGGCATTGGCCCACTGTCCTATGACAGCAGCAGTAGAGACTGTTTCGTTGCAGAGGTGCATTCCGTGTCGGTACCAGATCATGCTGCCGTTGCATTTACAACGGATGACAAGGTTGACTTGGGTGCTCCGTCGTCAATGCCACCAGGGGCAGGAGGTTCCTCTCGCTTGCGGCTGGGGTATATTGAATCCGCTAGCCCGAACAGGCAACCGTTCATGGCAAAAGGACCTGGCACATCTTGTGCAGGTTTCGTACGCTGGATGAGTGATAAGAAATCCTAGACCAGCCTTGCAGACTTGAATGAAGGGCGTCCATGTGTAGCCCCTGGCTAGCCTCGCCTGTCGATCGGCCACTCCGATTCCTTACCTAACCGGTTTGGGGGCTGATATCGATCGCGGAGAGATGGCACTGGTCATCATCCGGCCAGTTCACGTTCACATGAAACGCCGTTGAGCATTATCAGGACGGTCGAATAGCCCGGATTGAACTTCAGTCTCGGATTTACTGTGTGTGGTGTTCATCCCTATGCAACACCTACCAGAAGCAAGGATGTACATCGCGAGGAGTGACTGGAGAGAGGAAGTGAGGACGATATCGATACGCATCCGTCAGCGGGGGGGGAGCCCGAAATGGAAACCCAGATCGAAGGGTTCTTTTCCAAATAGAGTTTAGCGGGCCTGAAAAAGGTTTCTATTTTTGCTTTCCCACGTGTCGGGGAAATTCCCCATAGATCAACACGCTGGAAGGGATAGTTCTTTTCAAACGCTCTGATCTGAGAAACGTCTGTTGACGGTGGAGTGTTAGGCCAAGGGGGCCTAGAACATCCAACACGTCGGTTGACCGACAAAAGGGACACAGGTTCTGAGAGAGTCTGCCTCGCAGGTCTACTGCGAAATACGCCTGATTCGGAGTGAGCGTGCTGAGGGCGGCAATAGGCCAGTCGGAACAAAGGTTAATCCAGTCCCGGACCGCTGCGCCCCGCCCAGGCGAGTACCAGCCCCGTGGGAATATGGGAATATCGGTGAGCCATGGCTCATCACATGTCCCAGGACATTGTCGGGAGGAACTTGTTCGTCGTCATTGTCATCATCGCCGTCACCAAACGCATGGTGCCCAGACATGCATGGTCCATTTGTCATGTGGGTATGTTGCGAGCACGGCACATCTTGTATTCCGTATCATCACTCGAGGCATTTTACAGCGCGTGTGGAGACTTCCCCCCATGTGTGTACTTGTAACTTGTCTGAGCACGCGTATGTAGTAATCCACTTCCTGCGGGTCAGACATGGCCTTTTCTTAGACATGGGCAGGTGTAGGTGAGGTGACTCCAGTTCGCACGTCACTTGGGAACTCGTAACATGCACCCTTGCAATACGTGCCCAGATTGCCTGGGACTCCTGCATCGCGTATCGCATAGTAGTAGCCTTGCTACACCTGTCGCCCCTGTAGCACATCCTAGAATCAACCGATCACGGTTCAGATGCCTGTCCGCGGTTGCATCCCCCTAGGTTTAGCTTGGTCGCCTACGCGGGCGAGAAAGGACCAGTGTGATTTCGAACTTCGAAGGGTTTTCGAACACTCGAGCAAGTGTAACGGGATAGATACGACTGCATGAACGACGAGACAGGGGAAGGTGATTGGGTCAGGAGACCGGAGAGGACACTTTCCCCATCCAAAAGGAGAATTTCCCTCCTTTCCTGAACTGCGCCTTGGTGGGTGTGGTTCGAAAAGTCTGGGTGTGCGGAATGTGGTGCGCAGAGAATGAACGATGATTGGGTGGCCAGGGGCGCTAGGCAGAAAGAGGTTAAAAATCCAAGAAACGTCCCTTTCGGCCAAAAGTGTGAGCACTAGCGCTGCTACTGCCCCACAGGATGTTCACCGTTGGCCTATCCCAGACCTCAGCTATACCCGCTAATGCACATCTCTGCAGCCTTAGCCAGCCCTAAAAGCCACGCCGCCGTGTCCCTCGAGTCAATCGTTGAATTTAGCACACCACCCAGATTCCGCGACCGACTTTCTGTCGCTTGTCGCTTGCACCCTCACTGCCCACTGACAAGTGTAACATAACGCCTCCCGCGCCTTTGTGCTATGTGAATGGTTGCAAACCCTGGCTTAGCTTCCTCGTGTCAGACCAGGGGATAGGGACATTCAATGGATAGGGACAAGGGGGCAATGCAAAGCCTGGCTCACCCTAAGGCCATCAGGATCTCCAAGAGGCTGCCTGAGGCTTCGGACTCCACCGCTCCTGTTCTTATTCCTCTCTCAAAAGTCCATTTTCTTTCTCTGTGCTGGGCAAACCCCCGTCAGCCCTACGAGCATGGCTGGGTCGGGGACACGATGACCCAGCAGCACCCAGGGACCTTTGGTCGCCTGTTTCCCCCCCCTCCGCCGTCATTATTCGCTGATGGATCCCTTTCCACAGGCGAATCTTGCAGCCCATGCACGGTGAGTGTGGACTTCATCAGCCCCCAAATTTACCTCATCGCGGTCAGGAACCCGGATCCGTCTAGGGTCACCGATCGAACTCTCTAACCCGTTTCCTCGTCGGGCCCATCTGCGTGGGTCGCACGCCTTCTTACTATACCACCTCCCCATACCACGTTTACAGAGATATATATCATCTGTTTCCTCATCTCCCAAAGATTTTGAATGTTCACTCCCCATCACATCAACACACTCCTTCAAAAGCAAATCATCTCATTATTTCTTAATCTCTTTCCTTTGTTCGCGCATTGCCAGAGTTTCCAGTTCAGCACACAGCCAACCCCAGATTTGAGGTACAGACCGTACTTTCCTTATTTCTGTTTTCTTTCCTATCTTCTGCAGCACACCAACAACCTCAACTCCCAACGACAAAAGCAGCCGCCCAAAGCCCAATCCCATCCCATCTATTTCCTTATTTTCTTTTGTCTCTGTCTCTTCGATTCCCCAACTTGTCTGCGACACCCATCCATTTTCGCAGAGCCCAGCGCCGACCAATCACTTCTTCAAGCCCAAAACACACAGCGACCATTTATTTCCTCGTGTTTTTCATCCCAACCACCCTCGCACTCACAATGGCCATGGGACGAGGCGGATACAACACCCCAGCTGCTCCCCAGAAGGGCCGCGGTGGTTACAACAGACAGGGCCGTGGTGGGTACAACAGAACCCCCGTCGTCCAAGGTCGCGGTGGATACAACCGGCAGCAGGCTGCCCAAGGTCGTGGCGGATACAACTGAATCGTTCCCCATGCGTCTTTCTTCACTGACACGACAACACCCCATCGACGGAGCCGTTTTCCATCGCCCCAGCCCATTTATTCGACGTGTGACATATGACTTGCGTGATCCCGGCCTCGATCACCATCCACTCTTTCGACATTGTCCCAGCTCTTGACGAGCATCTTTTTTCTCTCTCGGCAATTTCACTTTCCAACGCAGAACCTGTACAGCACCAAAAGTTCAGCAATCTGCCCACATCACTCATCGACACTTAGCGGCATTTCCAGGAGTTGTCTTTTTTCTCGATTTGGCATATAATCACACCACTTTGCTCCGGAAGCATGATTCAACAACAAGGCGCAGGAACGCAAAAAACATTTTGACGATTTTTCGGGAGTTTCAGGGTACATATGGGATATTAATGGCATCTAGGAAGGGGCATTGCATTGGGGGCAGGGCTTGGCAGTGGAATATTTTGCAGTCTTTCTTTTTGGACATGGTCCCCCATTCTTTTGGAGAGTTGAGGAGGAAACAGGGAGCTTCCATGGGCACAGCCAGCCCAGAGTGTGGATCAACAGGACAGATGCGACACCAGAATGAGCCCCAGAATCTATACAGACACATTTGGAGATAGATACCCAGAATCAGCATGCGACCACGAATGTCACAATTTTGGACCTTCGAGACCATTTTCTTTTGGCAGGAAGTCTTCCTCACGACGAATGACAACAAGCGCAAAAGCAAGTGATTGGGAGAAAACAAGGAGAAAGGTGCCTACTCACTTTTCGAAAACGACACCCAGGATGTCCTCCACATCGCCGGATCCTCCCTTACCCGTAATCTTGGCCAGGCAGTCGGCGGCGAAACGGAGATGTTCCGCCGCAGCCACAATATCGACTGCACCGTCTGCATCTCCATCTCTGTTGACGTGTGCTATATTTGGAGCGACAGGGTCATCGTGGCGATCAGCGTGATAATCAGTGGCCGAATTGCACGAATCGGAGATTTCCGTTGTTTCCGTATGCAGGTGAGACTGAGTCTGCGACTGGCTCTGGGCAAGGAAGTCCTCGAGATGATGTAAGCACTGCGACAGGTACGTGGTCTGCCGATGCGTGACCGAGAGGGACGTGGTCCAGTAGGACTGTAGTTCCGCGGCAGTCAATTGCGTATCCGCGATATTTTCGCTGGTAGATGCTGTCGTTAATTCCGTGAATGAGCTGGTCAGTTGTCTGAGGAATGCTTGAATGCCTCCAGGGTCAGAGCCGACCAGGCTGTGAGCAGCACCTTTGCAGGACACCATGCATATCCGTCGCTCGGGGACTGTTGGAAATGTCTGACGGATTTGTGTCTGCAAGGCTCTCATGCCTCTTTGTTTTGGTCCATCATCCATGTCCAGCAGGTCAATCTTATTTAGCACGACGAGAATAGTTTTGCCGGCGGCATCGCATTCTTGCACTGCCTCAAGAACTTGCCCGTTGACAGGGACATGCGGGTTCCCATCTCTATCCATTTCCACGGACAACAGTACCAAAACAACGTCGGATTGCAGGGCCCGCTCTCTTGCTCGACGTATGCCTTCTTGTTCCACCAAGCCGACAGGTTGCTGCTCCTCTCCGACGGCCCCAATGGCGCGGAGACCGGCCATGTCACCTAGTCTGCATAGCCAGCCATCAAGATCAATCGAGACGTCGACAATGTCTCGAGTGGTCCCTTCTTCGGCACTGACGATTGCAGCCTCTCGTCCGACAATCTGGTTCAACAAGGAGCTCTTCCCCGCATTGGGCGCACCCAGTAAAGCTATGCTGATGCCATTACGCAGCAGCTCCCCCTTGGAGGCATTTTGAATGTGTAGCTCAATTTGTCTCCTCAGTGCGCGCACTTGTTGCGAGATCGAGGCCACAAACTCCATAGGCGATTCATCAAAATGCTGATCTTCGGAGAAGTCGATCAGCGCCTCTAGCTCCCCTCGAGCGTATAGCAACATGGTACGCCATTCTTCGTATCTTTTTGCAAGTCCGCCGTCTGCACCGCTGACAGCCAAGCGGCGTTGTTGTTCTGTCTCAGCAGCGAGGGTATCACCCAACGCTTCGGCTTGTGTAAGGTCCAATCTCCCATTGTAGAATGCCCACTTTGTGAACTCGCCAGGTTCGGCTTGTCTCACTGCTCCTCCTCTTTCATGCATCGAGTGCCCGCATCTTGATACGGCGTCCAAAACCGAGCGAACAATGGCGGGGCCGCCGTGGACGTGCAGCTCGAGCACATCCTCACCAGTCACCGTGTTGGGAGCGGGGAAGTATAACACTAGTGCGCCAGTATCAAGGACTCGGGGATCTGAGGATTGTGGGTTGTTGGGATCGTACAGCCTTCGCAGCGTCGCGGCGCGAGGTTTTGGCGGTCCACGGTCTGGGCAGAGCCGTTGGTAAATGGGAAGACATGCTGGGCCCGAGATACGGATAACTGCTATCGCAGCTCGACCTGGAGCAGTCGATAGTGCATATATTGTGTCAGAGACTGTGTGTTGGCTTGCTCTTGCGGGCCATTCTTCAAGGTCAGGGACTGCGGCCGAGGACGACTGGAGTCGCCAATGAGTTCGAGGCGCATTCAAGCGAACCGCGCTCAAACCACATGGTTGAGCACATTTCCGGGAGGCGTAGAAGAGGAGAGGGTTTCTGCTCACACTTCGGAAACCAATGCGACATGGCATTCGAAGAACTCGTCACTAATGATGTGTGATGAATGGAAATCACGGAAGGTGGTGAGGGCGAACAGGACTTTAACGAGGCTTGGCAGCTCAAGCAATGGTAAATCTGCTCGGCGCTCACGGCGCACTCACCTAGACGGCCCCGTTTTTAAAACCACCTGCTCACGACTCACTTTCGCTCACCTTTATCTCACCTTTCGACTCACCCTCTGGGGAGACAGGCCTAGACTCTGGTTTGGCCCGGGACAGGTGTCCTGGGCTAAACCAGATGTCGGGACTAAGGTCCTGCCTACGTCCGACAGCCAGGACTTGTCAGGTCACAGGATCCATGTCCCAGCTCGTCAATTGGCCTGGCAGTCTCGACCTCTGAGGAGCTGTAGGCATTTTCTCACCGTAGTTCCTTATTCTTTGCCATAACTTCGTTCTTCGCATTCTGGAGTGTTTCGTGCCACTGTGTGTTACCAAGTCCACTTTCTATGTCTTGGATCAGTTTCCTGCATGCTTGCAGGCAGTCGAGATCTTCTTCAGAGTACTTGAGAGCCTCTGACATGCCAAGCCAAGCTTTCATCATGGTCAGATGAAAAATGTGCTGCATCGGCTCCTGTGCAACGGCACCGAACGCTAGGGCCCCTGGATGATATGATGTGAGCTGGATGAAGTGATGACGTTGATCATGTCTTGAATGCTCTGCTGCTTTCGCATAGCTCCGGATACTGCATTCGCCGATTTGGGAAAAGAACTTTCGGCGGCTTAGGCCGATACTGGAGTGGAAGGGCTGGGGTCTCATTGGGAATGCCTTGGACAGTGCGTTTGCAACCTATCGCTGCTTATTAGTGGATGATTAAACTCATTTTTGGTTAGGATGTAGGACCGGGAGTATACGTACATCATGACCAAAGCACAAAACCATAAGCGGTCGCAATGCTTGTAAGTACGTTTGAAGAAGACTTGTGGCAGACTCGGTCTCATCTTCTCCAGCCCGCCCGTGCGGGTATAGATTGACGAAACGGTAAGAACCTAGTCGTTGCGAAATTGGCTGCCGGAGAAGCTTGACCGTCTGCAATCACCTCTTCCCATTTTACAAACTGCTGCACCATCGCTAGTAATACCCTGGAAGACTCGGAGTCGGACTTCCAGAAGCTCACTGGAGCTTTCACAGACTTCGCCGGAGGGCAAAGGCCCACAATCAGAAGTATGACTCGACCATTCTTCAGGACCCTGGATGTAGCCTGATCAGTCAATACTTCGGCCAATGCGGTGGCATCTGCAACTCGAGTAGTCGACACCACTATCTGCTCATAGTTTTTGACTGCAGACTCTTGTGCATAGTGCTGTACCGCCAGTTGGGAAGTGGGAGAAATTTCCTGAGTTATCTCTGCCGCGGTAGCAAAGAACTTTGTTCCCAGACTCTGAAATAACTTTTTGAAGCGAAGATTTGAACTCGAAGATACAACCCCACCGATACTGACATTGAGAGCCCCTTCTTGTTCTTGAATGTTATCTCGACCTTCAACAAAACATCGATTACTTTGCTGAGCTGTGCAACAGTCAGGGTGTATGTCCGTACATAGAATACCGCTACCGGTGGCTCTGCAGGGGCGGGCTCGAGAGTCGAGCTTCTGAGGTTAAGGAGGTGTGTCACACAGTCAACCGAGACGAGAAGAGGGTGATCGAGGAATCTTAGCCATTCGCAAAGTTCGAGCACTGTAAGGTAGCTACTCCCGAAGATCACGTCGTGCGTTATCAAACGTGAATCTTGGCCGCTTTCGATCAGTCTGTGTATGAGGTAGTCGAGCACGAGAGCGTGGAGTAATTTGATATTCTCGTCATACTCGTTGGGGCCAGTCAGTGTCGCAAGCCCAGTTCTGTCGCGAAGGATGTCCCGATCGGCATGGAAGACCTTACGTCGCTTTCGTGGTAGGTTTGGGCTAGTACCTATGTGAATGCATTAGAAAAGATCCTGCTGAGTTCCATCCCGGAGAATACACACAAAAGTATTTGCGCTTCAGACCCATTATGCTCATCCATAAACGAGAGTTCTTCAAGCATGCCAATGCTGCGCAAACCAATAGCACGCTACCTGGAAGACTCGATATCAGGCGCGGCCCAAGAACTCACTGAGATAAGCTCACCAGTCGCGAAGATCGCGGTATGCAGCTCGGATTTGTAGACACATGGCTTCTCATGAAGATAGACAGGTGAAGGACAGGCAGGATACAATAAATAATTTTCTTCAATTATTCTGAGACTCGGCACCTAATAATTTGTAGTTAATACGTCTCCAGAGTTGAATACCTGGTAAGTGAATACTTACAGGTAGGTAGATATGTGGGTACTCTGCAAGTCTTTGATTGGAAAGTATGCTGGCGCGTGGTTCCGCAGATTTACTTGACTTTATCTTTTTATTAACGGCAAATCTTCTCAACAACCAACGATCACACGTATGGTGTCCTCGATGGTCTAGTGGTCATGAGTAAGTCATATCATATGAGCAGATAGTTGTTCGTCATCTAACATCCAATTCAGTTTCCGCTTGTCATTTCATAATAACGAGCGCGGGAGACCAGGGTTCGATTCCCTGTCGGGGAGTTTCTTTTTTCGAGTTTTTTTTTTGGAACTCAGGTTGTTTTTTGGGCCTTATTCCCAACGCCCCCACGTATCTCACAGTTGGACTGGCGTTTTCGCTTTCCTACCAGACTTGCCGAGTTCAGTGAGTAAATTTCTCTGGCACAATACCTAGATATTTCCGTTTGTATTAGGGGATTTATGGACATACTCAGTAAATGCAGGTGTGTTCCATGTAGCAACAAGTCATACAATCGCGAACCAGAATATCAAGAGTATGTATACAATGATATACTAAATCACGTAACAACCATGCCAATATACTCAGTCCTTCTAATTCCGTGAATCTTGTTTGTGAAGTTAACAGACAAGCTGGCGCATAAGTTTGGAATAGGTGTTACGGCAGCGGAAGCAAAGCACTTGCATTCGCGTCTGCCCGCTTTAACCCGGCAGTTGTAAAAGTGCCATCTGTCATACAGTTCTTGGCAAGATCGTTGGGTGAGCTGGGGACAATGGGTGCCTGCGGAGTCTGTCTTCCAGTGTCTTATCTACGAGGGGAGCAGCTGATGACAACAAACGTGTAGTCTCGGCTTCAATCAGATGGATACATTCAGAACAAGTTCTACAGGATACGGTCGTCATTCTTTTATTACATACACACAAACACCCTATCTCGCCGTCCATGGTAAATGGGGAAACTGGGACGCCATGACACAATCTCAGGATCACGTTGACCGAACACAACAAAGCATCATCAATGACTCTGTTCGAGCTTCCCCAACTCTTGCCTGCTGGTTGGCTGTAATGGCTGCGCTTGTAGAGGTATATTGAGGGGGTTTCAGAGGACGGTATCGGATCGGGGTCATGCACTAGTTCCTGTGAGACGTTAGCATTCGCGCAGTGGATTGGAGGCTTGACTGACAATAGGCCTAGAGTCAGATCGCCGTGGATTTTGGCCTTGAGTTGGACTTCAATGTCCAGGTTCAGGTCGAGTCGTAATCTCAATTGCTCGTTCTCCCCTTCGTCTTTCTCTTCGCCTTCGCCTTCCTTGCCCCCTTTGCTGTGGAGGAGGCCGCCCAGAGCTTCGTGGGGCTTGCTCAGGGTCTTGCCGACAGTGTCGTTCACGAGGTTTCCGGCGCCGTCGACGACGCCGTTTACTGTGTCGCCAACCTCGTCAACTGCGTCGAGGGGTCCGCCGCCGCCGCCGCCGAGGAGGCCGCCCTTCCCCTGCTGTTGTGTCTGGGCTTGTGTCTGGGCCTGGGCCTTGCCTCTGTTCCGGTTTCTGTTCCGTCGTCCGCCTTTCTGCGAAACGTCGCTTCGATATGCGCTGTCGGCGTCACTAGGAGGCTCACTCGAGTCTCGGCCGCGACCTCGGCTGCCCCGTCGGGACCCGGAGCGGGCTGATGCTGATGCTGATGACTGAGGATCCATCTTGGGTTGTGGTGTTGGAGATTCGTCCGGGTTGCCGTCCGCTTCGCCCTCGCCGTCTGCCTTTTCACCGTTTGCTTGACCTTTCTGGCCGAGCTTTTTGGGCTTTCGTCTCTCTTCCGACTTCTTGGAAGAGGCGTTTGCTCCGATGTTTGCAGCTCCTGAGGCAGCGCCGGCAGCGTCGAGGTTTCCGCCGATTGAGGTTTCTTCAGTGCTCTTCGTCTCTTGTTCGGACGACATGGTGGGAGATTGAGAAGGAAGATGTGCAAGGGAGGATGAAGAAGAGGAGTATCAACGGACAAAAAGAGGGCCTCGACGTATGACGACCAGGCTTATTGTCCAGTGAAGGGAATCAAGGTTGACACATCGCTGCAATTGTAGTTTCCACCCCACACAGACGTCAGGATGTAGACGACCTGAGTAGTGACTTACATCGCTTGTGCCTCTCCACGCACGCCCATGACGTCGATTGTTGCTGCTTTTGAGGAAGATGGTGTCTACAACGCCACAAATCGGCGTCAGGATCAACAGAGGGGCTGGTTTGGGCAATGCAACGAAGCCAGCACCACCAGGTTTCAGTAAGTTGGCAGGCCAATGACAGCGAAGGAGGATGACTGTTCCGGCGGTGTGGCTGTTGTGAGCAGGGATCAAGGCAGGATGCCGGAAAGTTGTAAATGCAGAATGGGAAAGAGACAACTCACTTGACACCGACCCTTTTCTCAATCGGCGATGTTGGCGTCAGCCTGTGTGTGAAGATCTCGTTGCAACCCAGAGCAGCCTCCTTGTTGCAGGGCCAGATCAATGCTTGTCTGGGTGCTCTTCAACCGTTAGTGGTGCTTGCTTTGAGCCATAACGGCCAATCTTTGCCTTTCCGGAGTTGCGGAAGTTTGTATAGTAACAGGCTACTTCATCCTCTGACATTTCTCGAGTCGCCCAAAGAAGGGGGGAAACCGTGGTAATCGAGGCGGAGGATCGAACAGGTCAAGAGCCTTGCGTCATCTTGCAGCAGGGACCCGTTGGAGGAGGTGGGACGCCACATGTGCGCCACATCACGCCCCCGCCTCCACGTTACGTCTTGGCATTGAGGCTGCCAATAGCAAGCTCGGGCGCCACATGTCGTCAGACCCACCGACCAGGGTTCTTCCAAGTTCTGCATGCCCCGCTCTGACGCTAGGTCAATGCCCAGCTTCTCCCCCAAAATCTTGGTCAAGCATACAGATCGATCATCGCTGTGGACGCCAACATCTTCGATCATGGCGCACACAATCCCGCCGCTTCAACCACCTCAGCACCGGGGCCTGAGGGTAGGTCGACGCAAGAACCGGTCTGGGGAATATCAGACCCTGGTCACGATGATGTCGTTGTTGCAGCCTCTTCCCCGAATGCCTTTTTCCGACCTTGCCCTCCCCGTTTCAACCCACCTGCTCACAGTACCAGTTTCTTTTGGCTCTAATTTCATCTATCTCTCCCTCTTGAACACATCCCTATTTCTCTCCATATTTGCCGAAGTCGCCTTTACCTTTCCTCTCTCCTCTTCATCACCCTGTGGCCACCATGTCGGAGCCACAGCAAACACCCACACCGGATAATACACCTGGGGGGAAGAAGCCCAGTCGGCCGGGGCTGGAACGCAGCAACTCGGACCAGTCGACGACGAGCGCGGACGACCAAGGCTACGAGTCACGATCCAGATCACAGTCCCGAAGACGGAGACGACAGAATCAACGACAGAGACAGGCCCAAGCCCGAGCTCAGACCGGAAATGCCTCTGCAAACTCAATGGCGGCGATCGACGAGGGCGCCGAACCCCAGCAGCAAGTCGCAAGACGGGCACAGCCGACAGAGGTGCATCCCAGTGAACAACAACAAAATCCGCAATGGCTAAAGAACCCCGACCCTGTAAGTCCCGGCTGAGACCATTGCCTTGGTGGGGGCCAGATATACCTCTCAACATCAGTCTTTCTCCAGATACCGTTCGAAATGCTAACAGAAGTATAGCGCGACATTACAGAGTTTCAACCGTTCGAACGGATCAAACCGCCGTCGCAATCCATGCAGGGCCCGGTGACATACGCACGCATGATCCGGGGAGAAATCCCATGGCGAGGCCCTCCGCCCTCACAACCACTTGAGACCGCACAACCTATCGACTCCAAGGATAGCAGCGGGAAAGATCCTATGGATCAAGAGTACGTCGTTTTCCGGAAGACCACCGTCACGATTGAAGACATGTTGCACAGTGCTGACAAGAGTGCACAACGAACAGTGGCTTGAAGCTCCGGTTGGAGTTGAACTTGGACATCGAAATTGAACTCAAGGCCAGCATCCACGGTGATCTGACATTGGCACTCCTGTGAGTCGAAGGTCCCAACCCCCTTTTTGTAATGGGCAATTTGGTCCTAAAGGCTAACGAAGGAATTGATCGTCAGGGCTTGATTTGTCTCTGCCGAAAGTCAAGCTGCCTAAACCGAAGCTACCCAAGTTGTTACCGAAAGCCCCAAAATTACCCAAGCTTCCAAAGCTACCTAAGCTCCCCGAACTGCCTGACACCGGGCTTGCCAGGTTATGACGGAAAATGGACAAAAGGGGGGGGGATAATGAAGTGTGTTCGAGCAAGTTTCAAATTTTCATGTCGTTAGTCAACCATCATAAATGTTATGGCCGAAGCTAGTCTGGACAAAGGGCGTTGGAGAGACCATGGCATGTCTGGCTCATAGCTGTACCTCTAAATGTACCATCCCTAGAACCCTTTCACAATCATTTCTCGTCTCATCCAATAGATCAGTGGAAGTGTTCGCCTTGTCCTTGCCCCTTCCAGAACTGAATGGGACTGTGAGGACTCTTGCTCTCAGGCTCATCCTGAATGGCGGTGTCATATTGTCCGTACTCGCCCCTCGCACGTTTCACCACCCTCTCAATTCCGTCCATCCCCATCTTCAGCTGCTCCAGCTTCGGACCATAGCTAACTCGGACAAAGTGGTGGCAAGGACTGTCGAACAGGTCGCGTCTCTTTGCTGGGTTGAGGTCGAAGAAGATTCCCGGAACTACGATGGTTCGCTCTTGGAGCTGCCGATTTTTGTTAGTCCTGTACGAGCTAGAAGAAGGGGTGATGGCAATAGCTTTTGCCAGAATGAAAACACTTTTCCAATGAGCAGGGATCATACCAGTGCGTCAAAGAACGAAAGTCCATTAGAAATGTCAATGGGACTGTTCTTCGGCAGAGGAGGTTCCAACGACGACAAATCTAACCAGATATAAAACGTCGATTGCGGCACGTTCTGGTCTCCCCATCTGAACCCAATCTCTTCAAGTCTCTTGAGAACGTAGTCTCGCTTCATCTTGAAGTGACTTTGAAGGGCCATCATTTCAGCCTTGACTTTCGCTTTTGTTCCAGACATATTAGCCACATTGTCGGATGAGTTGGCCCCTGGCTATCATCTGGTTCGTGGGAGAAGGCGGACTTACGAGGATCGAGCATTGATATGGCAGCCTCCTGAAACGGCACGTTGCAGCCACCATCGAGGTAGCTACCACATGAGCTGAGCGCCTTGATGAATTCCTTCGGGCCAACAATCCAAGCGACGCGCCATCCTCTGGCGGTGTGGTTAGCATCGAATGCCCATTTCGGAGAACACAGAGCACTGAGAGTTTCAACCCTGGTACGGGTCTGTCAGGAGACTTACGGGAGTCTGAAGCGTTTTGTGAGACCGTCAATCAAGATCACATCGTCTCGATCAACGTCAATCTATCGATCGCTGTCAGTCGATTTTGCCCGCAATCAAGGTCGACGCAGGGTCAAGAGTGAAACTCACAACATTGGAGGCAGCTGAGATAGTACTGCCATCGCAGTTTGTGTCGTATCTACCATTCATCAGCGATAAAGATTCATGTGGCGGATGACGCCAATATAGCGTGTTCTCCATGAACTCAAGAAAACAGTACCTGTAACCAGCGTAGAACTCATCAAAGATCAATGTTGCTCTGTCCCGACAAATATCCTGGATTAGGGCAAGCTCTTCAGGATCCAAAGAGTGACCTGTGGGATTGCGAGGATTCGAGGTCAAGATGACACTGGTACCGCGCGCCAGCTCGTCGGCGATTTTGTCGGCATGACTGAAGTGTTGTGAGCCTCAGATAGCTCTTGTAACAGAAGTGCCCCTTTTGCCAGCACACTTACATATGGTACCCATCAGCTGCAGAGAGAGGTGTGGGTATGGCTACAAAGTTGCGAAACAGGGACAACATCTGTGACCACGTGTTAGTCCACGCTGTGTGGAGTTATGGTTCTTCGGCGTTGATACCTCGTTGTATGCGGTGTAATCAGGAATGAAGAAGCCGAGATACGCATTGCCCAGCACAGCGGCGATCCTGATCAGCCCAGCTCTTCCCCCGGGCACAATGCAGACGTTCTCCCATGAGTATTGACTCTCCTTGCCTTGGCGGTAGTTGTCATCTTCCAATACCCTCAGGTCAGCTTCATGACAGAATTGATTCGAGGGAAGGCTTCTGCGCATTGGAGAAGTCTAGAAGTGACAAGAGCTTTGACAGGTAGAGGACGCACTGTACAGTTTGGCCACGGCGGCTCGAAGAGGCTTGATGCCGGCTGTTGGCCCGTATTCTCGTCCATTGTTGGTCAAAGGGATTGAAGTTGGGCGGGGGAAGCAGCCTTCCTGTGCTCGTTCGTATGTTATGAATATTCAAGCAATCCCATTCTCCATGCCAGAATCCCCGAAATTTCTCGGTGTAGGCGTGGACTATCACTCACAATATCATCGTCGACTTCAGGCGCGCCTTGGCCCAGGTTGGCCCACTTCTGGGGCTCCTCAAGAAAGCCGTGGCGCGCTGCTTGTTCGGTGGTCCTGTTCCGGCGTCAGACATCAAACTGTGGAGAAAGGAGAGTGCGCTCAGTTACCAAATGACCCCAGTCGAAGCTCTTGAAGTGTCCAGGGCGGCATGCGGTTTGTGGCTCGGGTGGCCGCGGAGAGTTCGGTGTGGAGCAGAGATGTTTTCATCTTCAGGGTGAATGGAGAACCGGCGACCATCTTGACTGGCGTGCAGTGCCGACCTCATGGTCGAGACTCGTCTCGCTGAGAAGCTCATGGTTGACTGGATGGGACTTGGACTTGCTTGGCCCTGTGGTAATGGCGGCGCTGAACGCAGTGGAGGCAGGGGGGAACTCTGCTCGCAGTTAGGTGCCCAGTTAGTTAAACGAGAGCCTAGTGAGAGCTTGACAAACACTGAGATTCAGGCTGGGGGCAGAGGAATCGTGGCCGTATTTATTTGCAGTGAGCGGTGAGATGGGAATTACAACCTGCAGTGACAAAAAGAAAGAACATTGTCCTGTCAAATCGCATGTGTCAGTCTCCGTGTCGTCGTCTACTGGAGGGGTTGAAAGTGCCTTGATTGCGTGGCTAATTTTTCCTGCGGGCGCAACATGTCTCTCTAACTACATCACCGTCTGCCTATGACCAGCTACAAAGCTCCCACTCCAACAGTCAATGGCACCGAACTGGCCCTCAGGATGCTCAGCTCATCCGCATCCACCATTTCCTCCTTTAGGAACAACATTCAGCCCTCAGTCACCGACCTCGTTGGATGGCAATTTCGAGTTCCTGTCACGCCTATCTGCAGCGATATTTTGTCCCTAAGAACGTTCCTTTTGCTTGAGCCTAGCTCTACCGGCCCTCAGCAATGCACGCTGACTGTCACCAAGTACTGGTACCTGTATCACCCAATGGTACGGGAGAGATCTCCAGCGTGGGGGTACCGAGATTCAGCCAATACCAGAAGCGCAGGGACGACCTCGATGTTATCGGTTGATCATAGGGCGCTGGTTGAAGATACTTTGATACACACCCAAGAACGACCTGCTTTTGACACATCTATAATCCCACATCGATTCAACGTCAAATGAAAGTCACTGTCGGCGTGAGCAGGGGTTGAATCTGAACTGTTGGCCACTTTGCCATTCCATCTCATCGCTGCCATGGGTTCCTTACCAGAAACTAGGGAAGTAGCCCTTCGTGCCGCCATCATTCATGCTCACGATAAATACGTGTACAAAAATCCCAAGTCTCTCAAATACCATGAGGAAGCCTGCAAGTACATGCCCGGCGGCAATACACGGACCGTGCTTCACACAAATCCCTTCCCATTGACCATCGACCATGGGAAAGAGTGTTTTCTGACAACCGTCGACGGGCACACCTATGTCGATTTTCTAGGCGAGTATACCGCAGGCATATACGGACACAATCATCCTGTCATCAAACAAGCGGTGGAGTCCGCATTGCAGGGTGGCTGGAACTATGGAGGTCATAACAAGCTGGAGCCGGAACTTGCAAAGATCGTCTGTGAGCGGTTTCCTGCAATGGAGCTGGTCAGGTTTGTCAACTCGGGCACAGAAGCCAATATGATGGCACTTGCTACGGCGCTGGCTTTCACTGGGAAGAAGAAGATTCTCATCTTTTACAAAGGTAACACCAACGTTCTCCCAGAGTCATCTAAAACGGGCTCTTTTAGCTCATGCACACTTCAGGCTATCACGGTTCCACAATTTCAGGACGGACTCCCTCCGACAAAACATCGATCAACCTCCCGCACGACTTCGTCGTCGGCACGTACAACGATGTCCAAGGCACCGAATCGCTCGTCAACTCTCTGCCCAAGGATTCCCTAGCCGCAATCTTACTGGAACCCATGCTCGGGTCTGGGGGCTGCTACGCCGCGAGCAGCGAATTCCTGTCCACGCTCCGCCGTCTGGCGACCGACAACGGCGCGCTTCTGATCTTCGACGAAGTCATGACTTCGCGCCTTCACTACCACGGCCTGGGCAGCCAAACAGGCATAACCCCGGACCTCATGACGCTCGGGAAGTGGGTCGGCGGCGGGATGAGCTTTGGAGCGTTCGGGGGAAGGAGGGAGATCATGAAACTGTACGACCCTCGCGACGGCACGCTCCAGCATCCGGGGACATACAACAACAACTGCTTCACCATGAGCGCCGGGGTGGCGGGTTGCAGACTCCTGGACCCGGAGACAATCAACGGCCTGAACGCGCTGGGCGACCGTATGAGGACGGAGGTTGAGAGCGTGCTGTCCAAACGCGGCATCTCGCAAGGCACCACGATCCCCTCCAGCCCAGTGACGGACGAGATGCACACCACACCAAACCACCCGCAGCGGCCGCCCAAGATGTTCATCAAGGGCGTGGGAAGTCTCATGGCCATTCAGTTCGCGGGCCCGGAGGCCGGCACCTTGCAGGACCTCTTTTACCACCACATGCTCCAGCAAGGGATCTACATGGCGGCCCGAGGATTCGTGGCGCTCAACATTATGCTGACGGAGGAACATGTGGCCATGTTTGTGAGGGCTGTTGAGACGTTTTGCGAGATGTGGGACGCGGAGTTGAAGTGGTAAATGGATAGATGGTCCTCGAGAGCTGGTGCATGGTGCATGTCGCATATTGCATCGGCCACGCAGTGAGATATGAGAGTGTGAACAAAAACTGATACATGCCCTTATTCGAGAAAATTGATCCTACTCCGCTGTCACAGAATTCCATCAAGTCTTCTGTTCGTATACGCTCGAAAGCTTCCTCATACCGGCTACGAGCTATCTCCAGGGCTGGTCTCCACGGAGGACCCATATCCCCTACAATCCGCCTTGTGTCCAAGAGACCAGCTGCCACGATATGCACCTGAAGAGAGCCGGCCAGATACGGGGAATTTTGGATTTGTCGCCAACCGACGAAACACCGCAAAAACAGGCCGTCGACTCTGCAGGGACCACGGGCGTTCTCTACCGCCATCCTGGTGACCGCCCTAACAAACATCCCGGTTCTGACCTCGTGTCAACCGACGAAGCTGGAGCAGAAGCAACACGCTTTGAAATTCGCAGGGTTGGGCTGTCCTGGCTCACCAGTTGGATAACCACACTGTTCCCTGTCCTGATCGCTGTGAACCGACGAAGCTCAGTCAACCCGCGTCGCTTTTGTAGGTTGGGCTGTCCTGGCTCACCAGTTGCGTGAACCACACTGACTGACTGGCCCCTTTCCCCGTCCTGATCGCGTTGAACCGACGAAAGCTCCTCAGTCAACCCGCGTCGGTTTTGCAGGCCAGCAGACGGTATACCGGCCTGTCCGTTTGCACCATCCAGATTGAACACTCCAAGACTCCTTGATTTGAACTTGCGTGCATCGACGAAGGGCAGCAAATTCCACGCTTTTCTCGCGACAGAGAAGACAAGCTGTTCCCTGCGCGCCCCTAGCCAGCCGGCACTGGAGCTCCCCCAGTTGGCATCTCGTGAATCGACGAAGGCGAAAAGAGACTAAAAACACGCTTCGTTTTTGCACGACTGCGAGTGTAGCTTTGGGCCGTCAAGGGCGATCGGCTTTGCACAAAAGGCCATCCATCCAAGGGAAACATGACAAAACGGGGACAAAGTGTGGTTCTCTGTTCGCGCTTCTGTGTGGAAACCCAAACCCGACAGCAGCACGCAGCAGTTCAAGCTTCACCCATTGCGTTTCTCGCCAATTGATTGATTGTCACAATAGAGCATCGCTAGTTGACGCTTTTTGATTGCACACCTCTTTCCGTGTGTTTCTGTGTGTCACCGTGGCCTTTCCAAAGCTTGCGTTTGCATAAGATCCTTGATTTTGACCGTGGACAAACACGTCTTCAGGCATGTATATTTGGATCCACGCAACCATTTCCAGACAACCAGGAGGCCACGAATCTTGCTGTTCTCAAGTAGTTGGAAAAAGGCTCCATAGCCTCGAATAGAACCCTGGTTGATATCACCATCAAGACACCCACAAATCGGCACCCGTCCAGTTGTCACCGACGTCCCCGCTCGAGCCACCGCGAGTCCGACCAAAGTCACAATGAGCACAGTGCTAGGATCTCCCCGGCGACCTTTATCGCAGACAAACGCACCGGCAAATGCAGAGCCGACACCCTTCGAAGTCTTCATTGCCATCGGCAATATTCTGACCTGGCTCCTCGCGGTCTATGTAATTTACCTTCACGTCCAAGCGAGATGGGATCTCGAGGCCCGTCATCGTGCCCAAGTCGAAGCAGAGAGACGGGCCTGGAGCGAGGCAGACAGGCAATGGAGAGACCCGGACCCTGAACAGATCCGAGGGCAAAAACGGAAATTGCAGCAGATCCAGGAAGAGGTCGATGGAGACCAGGGTTGGGAAGATGAGATGTTGGACTGGCACGGTGAGATCGAGGAGAGGGCGGCAAGGGAGGTTGAGGTTGACAGCGACTCTGAGATCGAGGAGCGAATGGAGGTCATGGAGATTCCCAGCCGGCAAGAATTTGAGCGAGATTATGGACAGTTGTGGAGATGGTAAACAGTTGCGCCACTCATTGGCGAGAGTCGTCACAGCGAGTTGTTTGTTGAGGCTCCCCATGTTCTAGGATCTGAAGAAACCAAGGGATCAGAATTGGTGGATTTTTTTTTTGAGCCGAAAATGTTGTGCTGTGGCTTTCAAACTCGTGGGACTCTGTGAGCAAGGAGGACCGTCTCGCCATCTGTGGTATGAGGATATTGCAGGATGATGTCGAGAACAGCGCTCGATGAGCTGGAAGAGATCCAATGTGCACTCTGACAAAGGATGTACCGCAGGCTGCTTTCTTCGAAATGTGGTACGTGGCACGCCATCCATCGATGAGTCTCGCTGAGCTCGCTGGTCCATGGGCGAAGGGGTTGCTGAAAGGTCTGTTATGGACGTGGCTCGATGTGCCGGATGCCCTTCGAGTTCAATGCTTCATTCTAAGGTCGCTGCGAAGACCGCAGTGCCTCTTCCATGAGCCAGACAGTGCGAAGTTTTCTCAACACGTCCATCATCGCCACCAAAAGGCTCCTTTCTTTTTGTCTCCATCTTTCTCTTTCTTGCTTTCTTCAAGCTCCTTCTTTTTCCTTTCCGCCTCGAGCCTCTCCTTTTCCTCCTGTCGTCTCGTCATCTCAATAACCTCCATCCTCCGTTTCTCCACGGCAGCAAGTTCCTCCTCCCTTTGCTTCCTCCTTGCCAGGATACCCTGAAACCACTCTTCCCGTGCAGCATCTTCCTCAGCTTTTGTAGCATATTGGATCATACAGCTGTTCATGGCCAAATGTTGCTCGCGGCAGGTCCAGGCGACGCTGATGGTACGGCCGCGTGCGCAGTCAGCAAAATCTTTGATCACATCGGCGCATTTTGTGCGGACGCGTTTGTGGAAGAGATTGCGGACTTCGGCTTCTTGAGAGGCGGATAGGGGCAGAGGATTGTGCAGGTTATTCTGAGGTTGTGGCCGGCTGGTGGTGGGAGGTGGTTGTCGTGTTGCTTCAGGGATAATAGACGAAGCCATCTCCATTGTTCTGAGTGGTAATGAATGAACGGCGGACTGATCAGTATACCCTACAAATTCGACTGTGATCTATCCATGGCAGGTCTGATTGCGTGCATGAGGTGGTTGATGGTGAGCAAATAAATTGGTCTGGAGAGCTCTACCTCGTACCAACATTGAGAAGCAGGTGTGGAGAAACCTACGGATGCGGACTCGCAGTTTGCACGAAATTTCCCCAAATGCCACTGAATATTTTGTTTGACTTACCACAATCATTGTTCTTTGACCTCCCACCGCACTCTCGAAGCCCCTCTCTCTCCTCAAACTCTCGAGACCGAAAGGAACATGTCTTCTCTCCGCAACGCCGTTGCACGGCGTCCGCACAAGGAACGCGCTCAACCCGCCTCTCGCGAAAAATGGGGCCTCCTCGAGAAACACAAAGACTACTCCCTCCGAGCGCAGGACTATAACCTCAAGAAGAAAAAGCTTTCCCAACTGTCACAAAAGGCCAGGGAGCGAAACCCAGACGAGTTTGCCTTTGGCATGATCAGTCAAGGAAGGGCCGGGTTGGGGAAGCACAAATCCAAGCAGACTGTGGAGGACGAAGATGGGAACAAGAGACTAAGAGAAGGTGTCCCATTGAGCCACGACGCGGTCAAGTTGTTGAAGACGCAGGATGCCGGATATCTGAGGACTGTAGCGGCGAAGGGTAGGAGGGAGATTGAGAGATTGACGGAAGAGGTGGGCATGGACGATGTTACGCTCGGAAAGCTGACGCCGGCCAAGAGGCAAACTTTTCAGGACGATGAGACTGGAAGCCTACTCAGGGGCAAGAAGCGGGCATCGAACGGGGAAGTGCTCCAAGATCAATCTTTCGAGGGAGAAACAGATCAAGCAATGCAAGAAGCTGAGATTTTGGCGACAACATCGATCCACGGCCTCAACGACACAGATGATCCACCAAAACCCAAGTCCAAGAAAGCCCTTCAAGCGGAACAAGACACCCTGAGCCGTTTGCGTGCTGAGCGGAAAAAGAGGAAACGTCTTCAGGATATGCGTGTGGCAAAGCTCGAGGCCCTGAAAACCCGGCAGCGCGAAATCCTTGCCGCAGCCGACCAGTTGGAGTTACAGCGGGCGAAGATGGCGAGAACGGTCGGTGGAGTGAACAAGAACGGTCTCAGGTTCAAGGTTAGAGAGAGAAAGAAATAAGCGAAGAAGGTCCAATTCTGTCACGACACAACAACGAGAGATGGTAATGAACAATGATATCTAAAGAGGGTCTGATATATCTTCTCTTCTGGGACGGAGCCCCTTAGGCGCCCTTCTATGACAAGCAATACCGGATACCGGAATGCTTCTGCTTCACACACCCGCGGCCACAGCCTGGGTGATGACCTTACTGAAATCGGGCTCTCTTCCTAGCAACCAACCCATACCCTCGACCTGCTCTCGACGGAACTTTTGACTTGCCTTCAAAAATGGGAAGAATCCCCAATGTCCGTGGGGCTCGCCAGGATAGACATACATCTTGGTCTTGACGCCATTTTCCTCCCGCAGCACGCGCTCATAGATGATGGCCTCATCTCTCAGCGGGTCCATACCGTCAATCTGGAACAGGGCAGTAGGCAGATCTTTGTGGCCTTTAGGGTGGTTGAAGGGAGCATACCAGACTCCGTCACTTTCGTCCGGCTCGTAGCCTCTCATGAACATATCGATCGCCGCAACAGGCAGGACTGGTGCATTTCGGTTCTGCTCGTACGACAGGAAATACTCCTTGTACTTTTCTGGGACCTTGCCTTCAGGCAGCACCGCGGGAATGACGAGGTACTGGCCAGTCAAAGGGGGCGACAATTTCTCGTCTCGCGCCACATGAGCCAGGACGGCCGTGATGTTTCCTCCAGCCGAGGTGCCACCAATGACAAACCCGGTCGAAGGATCGGCGCCCCAGGACTTTGCGTTGGCCGCAGCCCACTTCAAGCAGTCCCAAGAGTCTTTGGGTGCATATGGAAATTTGAACTGCGGTGCAAGGCGGTACGAGGCTGAGATGCAGACAGCACCGAAGGCCTGGACAAAATTGCGACACGTCTGCTCCTCGCCCTCCGGCGCGCCGATGCAAAACCCTCCACCGTGGTACATGACGATTAAAGGGCTTCCGTTCTTGGGTGGGTTTGTTGGCTGATAGAGCTTTGCACGCAGCTTGGTACCGTCTGCTGTGGGATATTCTAACTCGGTCTGCTTGACCTCCGGCGGAGGCTGGCCCAAGAGTTTCATGGCGTCCTCATTCCGTTTGTCCACCATGGCTTTGAAGTCGTCGAGACTGCTGTAGTCTGGCGGAGGTAGGTTGGCTTTCTCCAGAAACTGAATTGCTTTGTTAGAAGGCAACCGCGAAGAGGTCTGTTCGTGTACAAACCGCCTTGAGCTCGGGGTCTATCTGCCCTAGGGCGAGAAGAGACTCCTTGTCTGTGTACGACATGATGATAGCGGTCGATGTCTGTTCTGCCCCGGGATGAAAAGGTCAGGGGGGCTTTTGAGAGGTTGAGAGTGTAATTCTTTATTATCCTGAAGAATATGACTTTCGGCAGGACGCCTGTCTTATTAATGCATCTCGAATGAAATATTACTTTTGTACCCTCCTTCCGTGTTCAGTCGCGGGGCACGAGAGAATCGAAGAAACCGGTGGATCAGACCCCTCCAGGACCTCGGCATTGTATTACGGGCCGGGCATCTGGAGTACTCGTCTTACCAGTTCTTTGCTGGTCCCTCATTTGAGATTCTTGAGGCGCAGCCCGGACATAACGAGTGACGGGAGAATGCGGGGGTGTTGTTGTCCTGCCCCGGCTATGTCGCGATCCGAATCAGTGGGCTTTGCATCCAAAGAGACGAGAGTCGGACTCTTTCCTTGATTGGCCTCTGGATCCGGATGGATGATTCGACCAATGCCCTGTCAATATCAGCTGAACACCTACCAGTCTTGTCAGCAGTATACCTCAACTCGCTGTGGGGATAAGAGAGGCGTCCAGGCAGCCGGTATACGAGTAAGTGCCTGTCAGCTCAACAAACATTATTGTACGAGGTACCAAGTACGTAGGTAGCTTCTTTTGGATGGTTCGAAACACGTCGAAACGCGAATGTAGGGGGGCGCGAGGACATGGGGCCGTGATTGGAGGCAGGGGTCATCTGTAAACTCATTCACTCTTGTGAATCTTGTAGCTCGCTAGGGACGGAGTGCCTACCAGTAAGTCATACTTCTTAACCTTATCAAGGCTTCAGCTTCCACATTGGAAGGTTCGGCTTCTCACCCTTACTCGGTACGTGGTGACTCGCGAAATACTGAAACGCCGCTGGGACCTGGCTTGACTTCACGTGGGTATGTTCAACGGTCAGCAAACGCCTGGTTCCCCAACCCAAGTCTCCCAAGTTCGACTCCTCCCCTGCCTAGAGAGTAGGAGGTTGTGTGATCGTACCAGGTCGATCGGCAATCCCAGCCTTCTTTTATTGGTCATAATCTCCTAACCTTGAGGTCATCATAGTGCAGGATGATGCGACGACAAGTAGGGAGGAGCTTGGCCCTGACAGTTGTTGCAGCACGGCAAGCCACCAGATTTCTAGCCGCGAGGAACTAGAACAATATCAGTAAAGTCGTTGGGAATGGCCACTCTCGGGGAATAGAACTGTGATAGCCCGGCTGGAGTGGCATCCCGGCAAGCTGGGCGCCTACTGCGGTTTTTGCCGGAGCGTTGTCGACTGGATCAGGGAAGGTCAGGCAGTTTGTGGCACTATTTAGGCAACGCCTGGCGTGGTTTGACGACGTGAACATGGCGGCGCCATCCCGCGGGAACGGGTCAAGGATGTGCTGGGGGGCGTTCCATTGTTTTCCAATCGTTCGAGCACAGCACCGGTGGAAAATGTGAACAGGGGTGTTCAGGGAGGCGAGAAGAGTGGGGTTTGCAAGAAGGAAATCCCAGCAGGAAAGTGATTTGCGAGTAATACGGGGGGATGGGGGCTGAGGAGAGAGGAGAGTAACGGGCCGTCTCGAGTCGAGTGGGAGGGAGGATAGGAAACGCCATCGAGGACCATGCTCGTTGAGAAAGCAGGTGGGAAGGCTGTTGGGAGTCTGTCTGCACGCAGCGCGGTGGTGGTACGGAGTGAGTAAAGAGGGAAAAGGCAGGCCACCCATCACGTCTGGCACATCTCATTGCGGTTTGGTATCGATCCGGTCTGCCTGCTTCTGGAGGCTGCAGTCTGAACGGAGTAGAGTACGGAGTAGTCAGTCTACACCTGCACCTGCACCTGCATCTGCCACCCGGGGGGCCCTTCTTCTCGATGATCCACATGCTCTTGCGTCGGTGGTGTGGTGCGTGTGGGTTGCTTCGAAAGACCAAAGCTTTTTTTGCTACTGCTTTGCTTCTTGTTCCTGCTTCTTTCCACACACCTCATTTTCTCTTCTCCCACTGGAGCAGAAATCCCGCCACAACAAGCCGACGTCTGCACATCCGCACATCACTCGTACGCCACAGAGAGACACAACTTGACTGTCTGTGTCTCTTGGATCTCATTGATTTGATTGCCCGTACTGCTGTACGCCTGGACGCTATCGAATCTGGGAAATCCTCCCTGGGGGCTGTCCCTCTTGTCGCGCTTCCATCCCTTGCTCACACCCCATTGATTGGCTCTCTTTGCACCGCTGCCACCAACCACACCTCTCCCTTGCTACCGCCGCCATTGATTGAATTGATCAACAGCCAACAATAGCAACCACACGCTGGCCCGCGAGCCTCGTACCATCCCGCCTCCTTCGTTCGCTCTGTCCTTGTCCTATCGCTGTCGCCTGTCTATCTGTGGAACCTGGGGAAGAAACTGTCAACTCGCCCTGCGTTGGTGGTATGTTCAGTCCCTCCCATTTGCCTCCTTGCTTGCTGCCATGACCTTTTTCTCCCTGCTACAGACCTGACAATCGTGTCCTAGATATCCCTCGTTATCGTCCTCGGCGCTGGTCCGCTCCTTGTTACCCCCTCGAGGCTTCCCTAGATCTCGCTCACGATCTCTACTCCCAACTTCGCCACGCGCCTTTCAGGCATCCCCCGTTCAACCCGAAACATCCTCCTTTTGCCTTCGTCACGATATCGACTGCTCGAGTCTTCTTTTACCAGATAATTTGCTTCGATCAATGCGCTGACAACTTTGCCTTCGAATCAGGCACGACTTACCCTGTTCTAAGCGACACAAAGTGCCTGAGCGATCATGTTGGCATCTCCGCAGACTATGAACGGTGACCATGGCCCAATGTTGGACAAAAACAACATTATAAATGTAAGAGATGGGGAATCGCTCTACCAAATATGTATCAAACTTCGGCGACGCTTGTCCGGTGTGCCTGGGTTCCGCCCGTACCTCGAGGAAATGGAAGAGCGCGAGGCCGATGGTTTGACCGATCCGGTGTCTTCCCTGTGGCAGTGTTTCAGAAGCGGCCTACCGCTGCTCACCATCTATAATGCTTCCAACCCGGAAGAAGGCGACCTTACTGTTGATACAAGTCGGCCGGACAGAGTAGGCAAGGAAGCAGCATTTCTGTTCATCAAATCATGCATGCAACAGATGAACATTCCGGCAGCTGACACCTTCACTGTGACCGATCTGTATAGCGACAATACCACTGGATTTGTGAAGGTCACAAAACTGGTGAACCGGGTGCTGGACATGCTGAAGTTGAGCGGCAAACTCCACCCATCAACGGACAGTGAAGATTCTCGCGACGGGACGGACGCCGCATCCAACGCTCCAGAGCAGACCCCAAAGACAATGACCCGACGACAATATATCCTAAGGGAACTTGTGGAGACGGAGAGACAGTATGTTCATCATTTGCAAAATTTGCAAGCGTTGAAGAAGGAACTGGAAGAAGTAGGCGCCCTGACTGGGGATGCCATCCACAACATTTTCCTCAACCTTAACAATCTATTGGACTTTGCGCAACGATTTTTGATTCGGATCGAACAACAAAACGAAATGCCAGAAGAGCAACAGAATTGGGGTCGACTTTTTGTTCACTACAGGGATCCTTTCCGACAGTACGAGCCTTTCATTGCCAACCAGAGGAGATGCGAAGCCACCTGCCAACAGGAATGGGACAAAATGGTTGCGACCGCAAGATCCCCATTGACGCAACAGATGCTCGCGAACCCCACAATTCTCAACGGATTTCTCCTCAAGCCCTTCCAGAGGCTGACGAAATATCCTCTCCTGCTGAAGGTATGTGGGATATCATTGACTTGAGAGATCGTTGCTGACCATCTCAGGACCTGCTTAATCAAATAGAAGACCCTACCCTCAAGTCCGATCTGACCAGTGCCATTGCCATCATTCAAGATGTGCTCATGCAGGCGGATGCTTCCATCGACAAGGAAACTCGAGATGACGCCCTTCAAGATCTACAAGAGCGGATAGACGACTGGAAACAATTGCAAATTGCGGCCCTTGGCGAGCTTCTCCTGCTTGGAACGTTTAGTGTCATGAAAGAGAGCGCCATTCGATCAGACGAGAAAGAATATCATATCTACCTCTTCAGCCGGATTTTGGTCATGTGCAAAGATGTCAATGCCAACAAACCGAAGAACAGGCTGGCGAACAACAAACCGGCACTCAGTCTACGCGGCAAGCCCAAGATGAACTTGAAAGGACGGATCTATTTTGCCAATGTCACCCAAGTCATCCCTACGACAAGTCCCGGAAATTATTGCCTACAGATTTCATGGAAAGGCGAATCAGGGATCGAGACGTTCAACATCAAATTCAAAAACGACGACACACTGCAAAAGTGGCACAACTTGATTGAGACTCAACGGTCGGCATGCATGCTAGAGTCGAAGACAAGAGGCATTTCGGAAACTCATCTCCTTTCCTTGCAGGGAGCGAACCTAGAAAATCCATATCTCGCTCAGGATGAGGACGACGATTACAACAGACTTTCCAGCACAACTTATGGTGGAACTGATGTAAATGGATATTCCGAATTCAGCATGAGCAGAAACGCCTCAAGTACGAGTCTTCGGTCACGGTCCGCCACGGGAGGCAGCGGAGGCAGTGGTCCCCAAATGTCAGCTAACCGCATGCGAGTGCCGACTGGCGAAATAGGGGCACTTTCACTGAACACTCGAGGACTTCCCACAGCGTCTCCGCAAGAATTCAACGGCGGCTCATATTTCTCTCCCATTGACCGGGATACGCCGCCGGGGTCATCAATGTCGGCTCGCTCGAGTTCACAATCTGCCTTTGCGGGATATCACCGAGGGACTACTCCAGTGGGCGGGGGCATGCACCCTCCAGAGTCACATCGAAACACTGCTCCCGCCATGGCTCGAAACCCCAACGGCCAAACAAGTGGAAATCCATATCTGGCCAACGGCCGAAGTCGAGGACAGTCATCTGGCCCAGGAATGCCGGTACCTCGCATGCGATCTGCGAGCAGTCCTGATGTGCACCCAATGGTTCAACAAAGTCGCAAGTACACTTCGACCGAGCATGTCCCAACCGTACCACCTATACCCGCTCATATGGCCAAACAGATGGCTCCTCCAAGCAGGAGTCAGAACAATTCACCTATTAACGCACCTCCCTCACGAGGAGGCACTCCACATCAACAATTTGGGCTGCCCTCTGCGCCGCGCCCTGCCATGCCAGGTCACGGTTATAGTTATGATCCATCGTATAACATTGATCCTAGGCGACCTGGACATGCACCCTCACTCTCGCAAGGTCGGGCTTTCTCGCCTCCGGTATCGTCGCCCTCGAGCGATGGTGAACCGTATATCCCCAGTCAACTCAAAGCCAAAGTCTGCTTCGATGAGAACTATGTCTCGATGATCATCGCCAGCAACATTCAGTTCAGATCGTTGGCCGATCGTATCGACGCGAAGCTAGCACGGTTCACGAATCATTCTATTGCTTCCGGGTCTGTTCGGTTGCGCTACCGCGACGAGGATGGCGATTTCATTCTTATCGACAGTGACGAGGCGGTTCATGAAGCTTTGCTAGACTGGCGTGAGACGCATGCTGCGAATTCGGCGAATCCGCAAAACGCAGAGCTGTTGTTGTTTGCACATGCTACCCATGGCGAGTCCATAGTGAATGGTTGAAATAAGAGCAAGATTCTGCAACGTGCAAAATCCGACAGCTCAAGTCTTCGACCAGAAGTAGCCTCTTCGAAGTCGAGGAGTTTGCCAATCCTGTTTACAGCAAACGGCCGAGGTCACTATAAGGCAGCAGCGCCTCATTCTCATACAGGCATCTATACACCCTCCTGAGGAGATTGACATGCCGGGCCGACTAATCACATCCCTAGGAACAGGGCCAAGAGTACATTGAGACGAGCTATGATGTGACGGGTTATGATGTTGGATATGGTTAAGGAACAAGGGAATGAAGGGAGTACAGAGGAACGGCGATGCGGCTGCGAATTAAAGATATTGAAGTCCAGTGGAGGACAAGAGGTGGCGCATGTGCATAGGAGTGAGATTACTCAATATCTCTATCGATACCTGTTGTCAGAAATTGGCAATATATTATCATCGTCTCCTTTGTTGCCCAGAGAGGATATAAGCTGAATACTTCTGAATTGGTGTCACCAGGTGTGGTTCAGATGAGGTCATATGTATGTTCATAAAATCCCGTCGCCATCCAGCAAGTTGACAAGCCTTACCTGCAAGGACCTGCTGGGGTCTCAAGGGGTGGCCGATGCCCTTCACATACTTGTATTCTGTATAGTGTTTGCTAAGATAAGACCGAAGGTTCGAGACTCAGGTCCTTTGAGAGACCCAATAAAGTCTGTATTCAGGCATATATACACTAGCTGGACGGAAGTCAGATAGCTATCACCTGGCGCCGTTCGAGAGTCGAGGTATATATAGACAGTCATGCAGTGGCCTGTAACTGGCACAGAGATTGTCTACTTCAGTAGGAAGTAAGGCACAGCGAGAAGGGAGCGCACAGGAGCGAGACGGGCGTTGGCAGAACCGGGAGTCAGCGAGGTTTTTGACACTGGAGGGAGGCCCCCGAATCATCACGACTTCTCGTCCTCGTCAAAGCGATGATGCACGTCGACGATTTCGTCGTCGCTTCGGCCCTGGGACCCAATCTTCCTCCCCTGCGCATCGTGCTCCCTGTCCCACGCCTCCAGCTTGTCCAGGGCCACCTTGACGAGCTTGTGCGTGACCTCGCCGCCGTGCAGGAGCACCTTCTCGTGGCGGACGCGGTACCCCCGCCAGCGGGGCAGCAGGTGCACCCACAGCAGGTAGTAGACGGCGCAGGCGACCAGGATGCCGATCCCCGTCACCACGTACGTGGCGTACCAGAAGCTGACATCGCCGCCCGTCGCGCCCCCCGTCGGCGGGTACCACGGCATGATCAGCATGTACAGGTTGACCGCGATGGTGAAGAGCACGGCCACGTGCCACGCCCGGAAGCGGTACGCCTTGGACGGTTGCGGCACGTTGAGCTGCTTGCGCTGGTACCGCACGCAGTAGATCCCCACCGCCATCAGGAAGTTGAAGAAGGAGGATGGGTAGTTGGCGAGGTCGACGACGAAGTTCTGGAGGAAGGGGGAAAAATGATAAGAGTCAGTCAAATGGTTTTCCGATCTTAGTGTGTTATATCCAAAGGGGCGAAAATGGGATATTTTTGGACTTACAAAGGCGTCGCCTGCGGGAGGCGCGAGGATCATGAGCATCGTCAACGCCCATTTGACAACGTATGGCCCCAGCGGAGTGCCGAAGGGTCGAGTGCTGACCCAGAAATCGGGAAATGGGAGAGTTCCCTGGCTATCCACGGAAGTCAGTACGGCGACCTCGATGTTTTTGGAGGCAGTAGAGGGATCCAACGAGGGTTGAACATACCGACCACACTCTCTGATCAATCTGGACTGACCCAGCAGCACTGCAATCAGATTGCCAAATGCGCTCATGGCGATCAGAAAATTGAGACCCCTGACTGCTCCGCTCGACCCAAAGACGTGTTGGAAGAACAGACTAGCCGCAACTTGCGACGACTTGACCAATTCTTCTTTCGGCACCGCCGAGAAATATGCGATATTGGCCAGCACATAGAGTGTCGCCACGATCAGGAGTGACAGGCCACCCGAGTTGCGGATGGAACGGACAGGGTTCTTGACTTCATTCACGACATTAAAAGCATTCTCATAGCCGGCATACGAGAAGATGATCTTCACCAGGGCGTTGGTCACGCCGTATGCCGAAGCCGAGGTGCCTTCAAAGCCGGAGAATGCGTTGCGGAAGTTGGCATGGGGATCTGGGACACGGGAAACATTCCCGCCGAGGACGACCAGGCCGGTGATGGCAACAAACACCAACGTCAGTAGCTTGACGAGACCGATGGCGTTTGAGAGACGGTAGGACCAACGAGTCGAGAAGGCCACAAAGAGGAAGGCCACGGTGTATCCTGCGACGGCCACGCCTTTCAGTTCCCACGCCGTCGGAGTGGCCCCGTTGATACGGTACAGGTACTGTGCGAGGACGATCGCGTTCGAGGCGCTGAAGGAGAGCAGCACAGACTGAATCGCAAAGGTGACGGGGAAAAGGTATCGAGGACGGGGGTAAGCCTGTTCCAAATAGACGACTTCACTGCCAGAGCGGTTCGGAAAGTAGCTGGCGAATTCCAGGTAGACGGATAGAGAAGCTCCAGCAATGAGGAAGCCAATGAACCAGTAGATCAGCGCAAGGCCCACGCTGCCGGTACCCTTGAGAATCGTCGACGGTGTCGAATAGACTCCCGTGCCGACCATCTTGGAGAGGTTGAGGAAGAGAATGGTGACTTGACCGACATGGTAGCCGAGGGGTGAACGGGTCTCGACCGGGGCGCCGGACACTTCCTGGTAAGAAGGCTCGTTGCTGTTCTCCCCCTTTTCGACCGCATACTTCAGGTTCCCTTCTGCGAGGAAGGTTGTGGTGTTGAGATCGTTCTGCTCATGAACAAGGCTGGGCGAGTCTGCTCGCTTTCTCCACTTCAACGAGACCATCTTTTCAATGGGTCATGTATATCACCCAGCAGCCGAACCGTACAAGCCTGCATTTCGTCGCAGGAGGGATCCTTTGTAGGCACACTCTTATATGAACAAGTTCCTCCCTTGATCGTGACTAAAGAAATTGCACTTGCGCAATTGCGTGGCGATATGCTGAGAGCACTCCACCATGCAGAGGGTGTCATCGACGGCGCGACTCATGCACGATTGCCGTGCTTTGCAGGGGTGATGGCGTCGTTAGACATCCTCATTAGTCCCTGTGGCAGTTGTCAATCTCGGCATGCACCAGTGTGTGCTGCAACGACGTGCTCAACGTAGCAGATGGTGCAATATGCCGACATCTGATCTTCATACCCTTCAGAACCTGAAAACCACGGACGTCCATCTACCCTTCTTATGGGGTGGAATGCGTCCAGTCTAGAAGACACGGCAAGAGACAGGAGCCGCCGAATGGAACTATTGATGTAAGAAATCTCTGTTGCTCCGCCAAATCAACCTATGATGGTGGCATCGCCGAAGTGCCATGCGTTGAAGGGCCGTCAATGAGCGATGTTCTATTGAGTGGCCTTCAGAGATCCATTACTAGCGCTTCGCACATACGGCTCCAACGGGAAGACCTGCCTATCCGGGGTCACGCCATGGTACAATTGCGCCCACTTCGATTTCAAAGCGTTCGGTGTCTCCCAACAATATTCCGGGTCGCGAAGCCAGAGGCGAACGAGGTGGCGTCTGCCAGCAGTTGTTAGTAAAGGATCCTCCAGAAGTCAACCTATGAGACTTACTGGCGCTCTTCGGTGTCCTTGAAACCGTCACGAGCGTGGAAAACCGCCAAATTATTCACGTACTGGATATCGCCTTGTTGAAAATCCAGCTCAACGTTGAAGCGCTCTCCGAGGAAGTGGATTGCATCTAGTGCTTCAGCTTGTGCTTCTGTGATCGGCGGGATTGCCGTTGAACGGGGTAGGGCTCCAAACCCCGTGAAGTATCTTCGAGCATATTGCAAGAGGACGCGCTCAGGGGTCTGGGCTGTGGCCGGTTGATGAAACAGAAGGGGTTTGGCTATAAAAGGTTGCTCAGAGTTCCCAAAGTTATCGGCGATCCAGTCCTGGGATAGCGTCTCAATGAGGTCGGGCCTGGTTGCGGCCAATTCATTGTAGACTCGCCAAGTGCTTGCCAGCCTGCTTTTGCCTCCTTCAGCGGCCGGGCTCAGGCAAAACAACGAGACAATGTCGCCGGTGTCGGTATGGAACACTTGCTTGTCGGCGGTGTAAGCGGGGGCACCAATGCTGGCCTTCTCCTTGCTTGCGCTAAGATCTTTGATGTGACTGAGAACTACATCCGCTGGCTCACCGTTATAGCGACTGTCTTGGCGTGCTCGTAGAGGAGCAATGTGCGAGGAAAGGCCAGCATAAAGGATGATGTTGTCCTCCCGGCCATATCGCGTGACGGGAACGCCCCTGACAACTTTGAACCCATGGCCGAAATGCAGTTCATGTGAGATTCCACGAAGCTCAGAGTGCAGTTTCGGTAGAGGAAAAGTCGACTGGTCAATGTAGCCAAGTGGCTTATTCAAAGCTATAACAGCGTCAGTACAACGGCTCTTGACATCCGGTCTACTAACATTTAAAATGTTCGAGGGCATGTTCTAGTTCCTCGATATGCTCGGGTTTCAGGACAAAGTTCCAGTCATATTCTCTTGGAATGGAGGCTCCCTCCCACACCAAATCTGACTTTAACTGTTGCGGGAAGCCTGTAGGCAGGGTTTTGGTCGCAAGAGCCGCCTCGCCTGCAAGCCTGCGCTTCACCCGCGCTTCGTACTTGTTGAGCTCCGGCGTGTACTGGATGTCAGGCTGCCGTGCTATTGCTACCGCTACCGCCGCCATGTCGATGTTGCGATGCAGACGGTACTCACCATTAGCACGGAAAAGACAGGTTTATATCGACGATTTTGATGACGCCATCAAACAGATCAATGGCGTAGCACGAACGGGCTGAGACCCTTTGATTACATACAGCCAGTGAGGTAGGTGAACACAAACAATTACCGTGTAACAGATACGGCAGATCTTGGGGATGTCCACACTGCCCGGGGCTGGAGCTCTTGGGAACAAATGTCCCGGTAGCTCTGCACGCGATGGAGCCGTCGAGGTCGAGAGATGCTTTCGGGGCGTTTGATGCCAAGATTACATCTAAAAGCGGCCAGACCACCCGTCCTGAAACAGCTGGTCCCGCTCCTTCGCGTCGATGCTTTTTTCAATCGCCCAACAAGCTCGACACTTCAATCCATCACTCACCGAGACTGCACAGAGTCAGACGCCACCTTCGCTTTTACAGAAAATAGATTTCAACTTGCCTAATTTCGCCTGGGCATATAAACACACCTCGTCCGCACATGCGTACTGATCCCGGCCACCATTTAAAGCAGAGCGTGGCTTCACGATCAAGCTGATTTCGCCATATCGCGATAGAAACAACATCTAAACGGGCAGCATACTAGACAATACACATCCGATAGATCTAACCACGATGTCTGCATCCGCGCCACGTGGTCCTCCCGACGCCTCGGCGATGAAGACACGCATCATCAGCCACATGAACGCGGACCATCAGCTCTCCCTTCGCCTCTACCTCCAACACTACTCCCACGTCCCTGTGTCGGGTACTGTCTCGGCTCAAATGCTAGACGTGACAACAGAACACATGGTCATTTCATCTGGATATGGACGGCATGTTATCCAATTCGAACCGCCCATGAAAAGCCTCATGGAAGCTCGGGAGAGACTTGTCACTATGCATGAACTCTGCCTGAAGCAACTAGATCTGTCTGATATTGTGGTGGATATGTACGTTCCACCGGATCGGGCGTGGCAATGGGCGTTGTCCGGACTTTGTGTGTTGATTTTCACAACCTTTCCTTTTCGTGAGTCCTTGAGACTGGAGTCAGGGTCGTGGATCTCCAAGATATGGAGTCTTGGTGGCGTCGCGCCTTGGTTGGCCAAGCTCAGTTATACGCTAGCTCCAGCGGTGCTAGGTTTCATGGTAGTTGTCCATGGTTTTGAGGCGATGTGGTTAATTCAAAAGAGGTTGAGACGTCATTGGGTTGAATGGGGATCGGTCGCCTGGTGGTGCTGGGTGGTCGACTGTCTTATTGAGGGAGTTGGATGCCTTTCGAGATTTGACAGGCTGGTGAAGAAGACGGAGGCTGAGAAGAAAGGGGGAGGGAAACATTGAGAAGGATACTAGAGACAGGAAAGGACCTGATAAAGGGAGAGGAGTGCGACGGTGAGCGGGCGTAGGGGTCAAGGGTCCGGTTGTTGGTGGTTGCGTATGCCTAGGTACTCAGTTGATACAAGCCTTGCGCCGTCACATACTCGGTCTTTTAGGCTGTCCTCGTGGTCATGACACCTGGAAGGCTTCTAGTCCTGCCACCACAGGGATTGGCATAGGCTAAAGGCTGCACACCGCCCACGCCGCCTTATCAATCGGATGCCGGCATCTGCCGGTCGGGCCGCAATCTAATCCGGAATTGGCACTGGCTCGAGTCTTGGCAGGGACCATCTTGTTCCTTTGTTCCTTCGTTCCTCCGTACATTCCGGCCGGGAAACTTCAGAACCTACATCCTTTTCATTCGACTCGTTCCCTTCGTCTGCACCCGCGCTGCTCTCTCGTCGTCATCTGAACACCATTGCTCCCATCGACAATGCGCTACGACAATAGCAGAGATCCCGATTTGGGACTCTCTTGAATCTAGAGGGCCGAAGTTTCGCCATTTCCAAAATCGCCATGGAGAGTAAGCAACTTTTGCTGCCATCTCCTTTTTCGGACGCGCTGACCCTTTTTTCCCCAGAGCCACCATCACCTCACGAGCCCACGCCCGACGGGGCCCAGGGACACAGTATCGTGCAGCGGGCCGCTGCTTTGTTCCGCAGCCTTGTCCTCCGCGCCTTTTCCGAGTTCTCTTTCATCAACTGGCACTACTTCTACTTCATTATCACGTGTCTGGTGTCCAGTCTCATATTCTGGGGTTCGTCGACCCCGGCAAAATCCGTGTCCTATATCGACAGCCTGTTCTTGTGTGTTTCAGCCATGACAGAGGCTGGCTTGAACACGGTCAATCTCTCGGAACTGAACACCTGGCAGCAAATCATGCTATTCCTTCTCATCATTATAGGCTCGGCGATCTTCGTCTCGTCGTCCATTCTCCACATAAGGAAACGAGCCTTTGAAAACAAATTTGCCGAACTTGCAGAACGACGGAGAGGGCGTCTCCACAGACCTCGAACATTGACCTTCTCATTATCAAGAAGAGAGCATGTCCATCACAGCGACCGTGAGGCTGCTGTAGCCTCGGGTGCTGTACGTGGACGCCCGATGCCGAATTCTGCCAGGGGAGATGAGGAGAAAACTTCATCAAAGTTGCGAGAATGTCAAGAACCCGCAGGGACTGAGGCCGGTGCTCGGCGGGATTCAGCATCAAATGGAACCGTAACTGGAAGTACTTCCGGTGATCAAATTGATAATCACATCAGGTTCAAAATCCAACATCCACCCGATGAACATCCCGAGACTCGGCCTCGGAATATCCGGCACACTACAAGTTTCTTCGAGGGAAGAGGTGTTGGTGCTCGGAGACTCAACAATCATCCGCGCAACACCCAGCCCTTTGAATTCCCCCATTCAGCGCCAGAATCAGCCATTGAGGACGATCTCCCACCTTCCAGTCCACTCTCAAATAAGCTTAACAAATATCTCGACACACTCCACGGATATCTTGGAAGGAACTCACAGTTTCATCATCTTAGCGAGAAGGAGAGAAAGAGGTTGGGGGGCATGGAATATGACGCGATCCGTTTGCTTTCCTGGCTTGTGCCGACCTATTTTGTGCTGTTCCAGCTGCTCGGGGCCCTCGGTGTCGGTGCCTGGATCACCGCCAACCGTCCAAATATGACACGGGAGAATGGGTAAGCGATCTGAGGCCCCCGTGAGGATGGACAGGGGAACTGACAGTTGACGTAGCCTCAATCCTTTCTGGACCGGAGCCTTTTTCGCTATCAGCGCGTTCAACAACAGCGGCATGGCCCTCTTGGATGCCAACGCAGTCGCTCTCAACCGGAGTTATTACTGCCTCCTGACGCTTAGTTTGCTCATCCTGGCAGGAAATACCCTATTTCCGCCTTTCCTGCGAGGCATTTTGTGGACGTTCAAAAAGCTGATCCCAGAGGATTCTCCCTCGCCAGACTGGCAGAGACGGAGACGCACCATCCAATTCTGCCTTGACCATCCGCGAAGAGTTTACACCAACTTGTTCCCGAGCGCGGCAACATGGTGGTTGGTTGCCTCGGTCGTTGTACTGAATACTGTCGACTGGGTTGCGTTCGAGTTGCTCAATATTGGCAATCAAGTGGTTGATTCCCTTCCCACAGGATTTCGGATTGTTGCTGGGTTGTTCCAAGCCTTCGCCGTGAGGAGTGGTGGGTTCTATGTCGTTTCGATATCAGGTCTGCGATCCGGGTTGCTGGTTCTTTACGTTCTCATGATGTATTTGAGCGCCTTTCCGGTCACGATGACAATCCGAAATACGAACGTCTACGAAGAGAGATCGTTGGGCATCTTCGCAGATGAACTCCCCGTGTACCAGGAAAATGACGGCGCCGCGCGAGAGGACAAGAAGGCAGGGTTCTTGAGTGGTCTCCGGCGCACCATTACACTGACACATGGTGGCCCAGCCGCCAACGCCCCTGCCTGGAATCGGCAGGATTTCGTCAGACTTCAGTTGCGTTCCCAACTAGGCCATGACTTATGGTGGATAGCAATCGCCATTTTCGCCATCACGGCCATTGAGACAGGCCAGTTTGAGCGTGACCCTGTCAGTTTCTCAACCTTCAACATCATCTTCGAGGTGGTCAGTGGGTATGGCTGTGTGGGCATAAGCGTGGGCGTGCCCTGGAACAATTACAGCTTTTGCGGCGCGTGGCACCTCGCGAGCAAACTGGTGCTGTGCGCAGTCATGCTTCGAGGGCGCCATCGCGGCCTTCCGGTCAGCATCGACCGTGCTGTCCTCCTTCCCGACGAAAGCCTCGCCTGGGCCGAAGAAGAGGATGCTCACAAGAGGACTTCGAGTTTTTATTCCGGATCGGCAATGCTCTCGAGAGCGCAGACGTCGGCGATGGCTTCAGGAGACCTCTTACCGCGGCCTAGATCGGCGAGCTTCGGTGCGCCAGGGCCCAGCGTCCAAACCGACGACAGAGAGCGGACAATCGAGCAAGTTGCTTGAGTCTTCCGGTGATCCCTCCAAACTTTCATCTATCTAAGCGGTGGCCTTAATTAAGGCGGAGGAGGAGCTTTCCTCTCGTCTGGGTACGGGGGACTTGTATGTGTTGAGTCTGTACCCCAGACGTTCATTTATATTCTGTTGTGCGGTTCGAAGAATCGCCTTTGTTTTACTTTGTTTCGTCTCATTTTCTAATTGGCAGCACTTTGAGCAAGCGGTTGAGTTTGGAGCTTTGGAGCACATACTGTTCGTTGCAGCACATACTTTCAAGCGACATAGAGAGACAGGTTGTCCATAGAAAGGCAGTAGGTTTGGGGAATCATCATAGCAGTGACTCCTGGGAGTAATTCTAGTTCTTGATGGGCAGCTGCATCTGTGCAGAGAGAGTAGCTGGTCACTTTTGTTTCCAAAGCCGGCATGTTTTTCTAGCCAGATCTACCAGTGTACGGAGGACTGTCAAGGCTCTGCTGTACAACTTCGGTGCCCGCGATGCTTGTTGAACCGGCAAGAGCTGACCGGAGACCATTGCGCATCCGTTCCCCTGCTCCAAACTCGCCTCGCAGTGCCACCTCCCTCTCTCCCCCCTCCGGCCCCTCCCCCCCCCAAAAAGGCCCAGGGATATCCAGCTGGAATTAGATGACGTTCTGCAACTCCTGGCCGGCCAAGAAGCGGCGCAGGTTGGCGGCGATCAGCTTCTCGGCCTCCTGGGGCCTGCCGCCGGCGGCGTGGGGGCTGACGACGCAGTTGGGGGCGTGCCACAGCTTGCTGTCCTGGGGCAGGGGCTCGGTCTCGAAGACGTCGAGGGCGGCGCCGCCGATGGTCCGGTCGGCGAGGGCCGCGGCCAGGGCGTCCTCGTCGACCGAGGTGCCGCGGCCGACGTTGACGATCCAGGCGTGGTTAGGCAGCAGCGCCAGGCGGTCGGCGTTGAGGGCGTGCTTGGTGCTCGCGCTGCCGGGCAGGATCATGACCAGCGCGTCGGTCTGCTTGAGCAGCTCCGGCAGGCTGTCCTCCGCAAACACCTCGACGCCGTCGCGCACGCCGGCGCGGCGCGCCACCCCGCGCACGTTGGCGCCCAGCAGGCGCAGCAGCGGCGTCAGCGTCTTGGCGATGTTGCCGAACCCCCAGACCAGCACGTTGGCGTCGCGCAGCGTCGTGAAGGCGCCCTGGGGCCGGTCCGGCTGCGGGCCCCCCAGGTGCGCCGGCCACACGGGCGGGTCGCGCATCTGGTAGTCGCGCATCTCGTGGAACTTGCGCGCCGCCACCAGCAGCAGGCCCAGCGTGTGCTCGGCCACCGTGCGGTCGTGCAGGCCCGACCCCGTCGTGATGGTTACCGTGGCCGGGTCGAAGCCCGCGGCGAGCACGTCGTTGGGCCCCGCCGCCAGCGACTGGATCCATTTCAGCCCCTTCATGTGCCGCGCCGCGTGCTGGAGGTTGGCCGGCGTGTTGGTCCAGGTCACCAGCACCTCGGCGTCGAGCAGCTCCGCGGGGATCTCCTTCTTGACGTCGTACGCGTGCAGCGACACCGAGAAGCCCTCGAGGTCTTGCACGTTCAGGCGCAGCGAGGTCGGGTAGAGGAGCTTCATCTTGAACGAGCGCGATCTATTTGTGGTCACAGGTCTCTTGCTTGGTTCTCTCCTTCTCTGCTGCCTTTTGTCTCTTTTTCGTATCTTGCTCCCTCAGGCAGCCACTGGTCTGCGTCCCAGTCAAATGGTTCCTTTTTACCAAGTCCTTGTCTCGCCCGCAGCTGCAGCGTCAAGTGACTTCACCAACAGATACCAAAGGATGCACACGGCGTGCGCACCGAAAAAAGTCGGACAGAACGACGAGGAGGTCTTTGTGATTGAACAAAACCCGAGATATTGATTGAGGGAGTGATCTAAATATGATGAGGAGGAGGATGATGGCGTCTTGTTCGTCCGTCGGCAGAGATCGGCCCTCTCGCCGCAAAAGATGCGGAGTTCGCCCGACAGCTTTCGCTATATCGCAGCAGTTTTCAATTGCCGACGAGCCAGTGAGATGTGAGGGAGGAGAGGTCGGGAAACTTTTACGCGGGCTTTGGAGGGACGGCCAGGCCTCTCGTACTCGCTAGGAAATTCATGTAGCTTGCTGCAACCGCCGATAATAGTAGTAGTAGTAATAGTAGTCGTTGTTGTTGTTGCTGTATGGTGTAGCTACACACGTCGCCATCTCCGCAGAGAGACACCAAGAAACCCCTTCATATAGAGCGCAGTAGATAGAGACTTTTTCGCCCGGTCGCAAAAAAAGAAATGAGCTTCATCCCTGATCAATCCCAGTGTCCAGCTCGCCAATATCCAGAAATCCAACCAAAATTCTCGCTAGATCAGATCTGTTCGCTATGCACATCCCGTCTTGATCACCCTCCAAACCCAATCAGAACATAGTAGATATGCTGGGAAACCCAATATAACACAAAATGCAGCCTTGTGCCGTGTATGAGGCGATTGAAACCCACTCAAATATATCCCCTTTTTTCCTTCTTTGCCATCCGTTTCATTCACATGTCACTTCCAGATCCCACGAGTCAAATCACGACCTTCATCAAACTGAGTGAGACGGCCGAAGAAACCCTCGAAACTCTTTCCGTGCACTTTTTGGTGCGTTTGTTTCTCCTTTTTGCGACACCTGCAATACCACTGCTGACTTTACATGACCACGCATCTGCTCCCCTTCTTCCCGCCGCTTCCCTCTTTGGTGACTCCCGAACTAGTCGGCATAGGCGTTTGACTTCTGGACATCTCTTCGCCTTTCTTTCTCTTCCCCTTCCTCTTCTTGCTCGATTCTGCTGCCACGGGATCTGACAACACCCGTCTATTACCACTCTCAGTTGGACTCGGGACATTTCCAGCCCAGACTCGGGCTTGATGAGTTGGCATTTGCTGATACACCTGTTGCGGTACCGAGTGGGTCTGGGATATCAAATATGGAATTGGCTGCGGTTGCGGTTGCGGTTGCGGTTGCGGTTGCGGCATCGGTGGTATCATTCCTTGTGCAATACTGTGCGATCTCGAACCGGGTTCACCCGGTCCGTATGAGCTAGATACACTGTCAATCGTGTCGAGTCTGCCCATGCGCGGTCTTTGAGCCTGGACTGGTGGCGCAGCATGGAGATTTGGCGTCGATGAAGAAATGGGGATGGAACGGCCGCTCCCCTTGGAGTTATTCCTCATCAATCCGTTCGGCACGTTGATCGCCTTGTTGAAAGATGGCGATCCTGGAACTCCGGCGGCGCCCCATGCACCCCTGGGTGGCGAGGGTGGCACGCCGGGGCTACCACCTAAGTCTCGTGCTGGAGCGTTTGGATGAATAGACCCATGAGTGGCGATTGGTGGAACGGGCTTTCGCGCAGTCTGAGAGATCCGCCGGTTCAGGTTCGCCATTTGGTCAGCTGTTGGAGGAACAATGCTGTAAGAGCCGTTGGCCTGAATGGTGGGTGAAACTGTAGCTTGTTGCGTTACTGGCTGAATTGCAGGTTCATTGGTTCGTGGAACATGCATTTGATCTAGAGAGGTCGGGGTTGGTGGGACAGGGTGGTTGAGCCGAGCTTGCAAATTTGCCCCGGTCAATGTGACAGACCCTGATGAAGAAGGTTTATGGGTTAGAGCCGCGTCAGAGAAATTCGGCACATGTTGTGGGGGGTTCAAAGGAGACGGACGATCAGACGTGTGTGGTCGCTGGGAGACTGGAGTCTGTTGGTATGGTGATGCCCGACCTTCATGCGACACCGGCCTCGACGAATCTCCAGACGCCGAAGGTGCGAAGGGCGCATTTGCTGAAGCAATTTGCGAGATTGGACTCGCACGTTGATACACCTCAGGTGTAGGAGCAAATGATTGATCGTTCATGACCGCCGAAGCACCATACTGACCGACAGCATGTCTTGAAGCAGTATTCTCCGGCACCACATGAACTGGTTGAGGTGTCAAGTGATGAGGCTGAGGTGTAAATTGTGGATTCATCGGACTGCCATGTCCAAAGCCAGGGTGCACTTGCGAAGCATGCCCATTTTCGGGGATCCCTACCATTGGCATGGGCATCCCCCCCACTGGCGGACGTGTCTGGATTAAAGAGGAACCCAACGTCATTCCCGGTTGCAGATGAAGGGACGCTGTAGTGTAGGGCGGAGGTGGCGACTCCCAACCATCGGTGCGTTGACCGGGTAACTGGTGATAGATGGTACTGGCAGCGTCTTGCTGCTGCGCCAGAGGTGGTCTGGGAGGATACCGTGCCGTGGAGAAACCAGCAGCTGTGGCAGATCTCTGCAGGTTCGGCGAGGCTTGTTGTGATATGACTGGCGAGGAGTTGGCAAAAGCAATTTGTGCGTCAACATCTAACGGCGAGGAAGCCTGAGAGACGCTTCTCAGGCGCGATCCCGGCGTCGCAGAAGCCGTAGTAACGGAGCGACCCAGACCGCCTCTCATTCCTCCTCTTGCACGTTCTCTGACAGTCCGCCTCCTTTCCATTGCCACCTCAATATCCATGTCACCCATTCGTTCGATGAGCAACTCCGGTTCCTTTTCCCCCACCTCAATAGTCAGTTCGTGGTCTGCGTCTTTGGATGGCGAATAGTCGAAATCGAGTATCGAGAGACGTGAGCCATCAACAGGCATAGTTTCGTCTCCAAGTTCTTCCATAAATTGATCAACACCACCCGGGGCAACCACTACCAACCTCTTACCGGTGAACGCGCACGGTCGATCTTCGCACCTTTCCACCCACTTGGCCGCCGTGGCACCATCAAGGCTCTTGATTCGTTCACATTTGACAAACAGGCTTTCTCGCCAGTCGACCTTTGCGGCAAGGGAATCGTCCTCGATATCCTCGCTGCTTCCAGATATGGAGGGCGAATAAGCCATCAAGGGTTCGAGATGGCCTGTCGCAGAGGTGAGCGGAACCCTCCCTTGCAGACGCTGTTCGTGCCGCTCGACCACCGATCCCATGTCCGGACTGACGTCGAGCTTTTCTGGGACACCATAAATCCACAGACCGCTTCCAGCGAAGCCAGCCACGACGAGAGTCCCGCACACAGTCGCAGTTGGTGCAGTTGATGGCGCCGGCAAGCTGAATCGTCTGCTCGTCGCTGGATTCAAGAAGTAGGCGACGCCGGTTCGAGTATCATCAGTACGCACGGCCCGGTATGACATGAGGGTGTGATCGTAAGCAAAAAGCCAGTTGGCATCGCCCTCTGTGTGGCCTTGCAGCAACTCTGCGTGGCTGCAAATACTGCTAATCTGGGGGAAGAGAATCTGTGTGGTCCACATGCGGCTGTGAACTTCTTTTGGCGATAAATCATTTTCGGTGTAGAATGGCGCAGTGATGACAACCGCCGAAGGCTCTTCCAGACTCTGGGTGCTGCCAACCAGCATGGAGCCATCACCTGAGAAGCTCAGAATGTCGACACCCTCGCTTCGCACAGCTCTTCGGTCAGTGGAGAGGGCATTCGGTGCCAGGGAAAAGACTTCGACCCCACCTTCGTACGCAGCAGCTAGAACCGTGCCTTCGGGAGCCAACGCGATTGTCCTGGGTGGGTTGTCCATGACCAGCACCTGTACATGCTTCACACCCTCTGGCGTCAAGTGATATACGTTGGCTTGATGCTTCGAGGACAGAACGGCTAATGTTGTGCCATCATCTGTGACCGAAGCCGCTAGAGGCCGTCTCATCGTCTTGAGCTCATGGCGCACACTGATAGGGTCTGTGACAGCGTCAATGACGTATATCCGGGAGGAACTGAGCGCGAGAATCGTCTGGCCATTTGGAGAGAAGGAGAAGCGGAAAGCTTCTGCCCCGGGCAGGGCGGCGGAGGAACTGGCGTTAACGGATATCAGGTTGATGAGAGTCTGGCGAGGTCGCAAATATGCCTCGAACAGGTTTCGCCGGACCTCTGCTGCGAATTTCGTCTTGAGCCGATACAGGTCGAATTTCCGAAACGGACCGGTAATGACGGTATTGGACAAGGCATAAGATGGACAACGAGATAGATGGTGGGCATAAAGCTCTCGATTTTGTGCTGCCCTGTACCAATTCTTGTTCAGTATAGCTAATGAAGCAAAGCTGTTGGCATCGACCGTCCATAGTATTCTGGTTCAAGTTAGCAGCGACGTCGGAGATCGGACAGGCCCTATTCTATTTATGGGTGGCGTACCTCTCCAGCACCTGGATGGGTAGGTTGTGAAAAGCAACAGCTTCCTTTCTCTGACGATCTGGGCCGATAGTATCGGGAGATTGGGGCGAGTCCTCGATGGCAGCTGAGTCGCTAGTTTGGGATATCCCTAGGCCTGTGCCATGGCTAGGCTCATGCTGGTTTTGGTCCAGTGGCTGAGGGGGAATATCATCCTCATGCGAGACGGTTGAAGCAGTCTTCGACGGCGGATGCACAATCATTTGCGACGACATGGCAGAGCGACCGTCGAAGAGGGGTCGATAACAGTGCTACACATAAAGGCCCGGCAAGGATGACATGATGATGGTGGCCTCAATATTGCATGCCTCCATGAACGCGTCGGGTCGCGACGGGGAAGAAGGAAAAGCTTCCTTCCTTTTGGTCGCCGACGCTGGAGGGGTGACTGCGGGATGTTATAGCAAATGTCGTCGGAGTTGTCAAGTCATAGGCGATGGCATTCAACTAAGATCTGATATGATGAACGGTGGCGATGGGGATGTCGATATCAGAGATGATGGATGAGAAGCGAATTGGGTGGTTCGGGAGAGGGTTGCAGGGTGGTCAGCGTGCGAAGTCGAATCTTAGCAGGGCACGCAGGGCTAGCGAGTTCTGGCCAACTAGGCTACGAGCAGTTAGCAGCCCCCGTACTCAGTAAGAATGGCGACTTGGAGGTGACCTACGAGATACAAGTAGGCGACTTGCTCGTGGTGCCCCCGTTAACTAAGCCACCTTATTATTATTGACTTTACTGGGCGCTGCCCACCCCCCACGAGATCCCCCTAATGTTCCAGGAGGCACCTGAGTGATAGACGCGGTACCATCCCCAGGATGATCATTAGCGAGCCCAACCGCCAATAGCACAGTTGTGTTAGGCCTTAGGGTTTCCCTCCAGGCAGCCAGACCGCCTAACGTCCCCTAATAATCGTCCAGAGGTCGGCCCTGGACGTTCAACAAGAAGCTCCACATGGAGTTTAGCCCAGGCAGCCCGTGCATTACGGGCATCTTTTCTTAGAAGCAAGCCCCCGGAAGCCAACATGGATGCAGCTTCAGCATCACTCAGCCCCCTGCGCAAATCACCTCATGTACGAGTAGGTGCCTACGTGTAGGAGTAGGTACCCTTATTACGCTGTGCTCCCTGCCCAAATGCGTTCATGGAACAATGTGATTCCCCCAAGTAGCCTGCACATCAAACACCATCTACCTCACCTACCTCCTTTCTCCCTCTTTCTGTTCTCTCATTTAGACATGGTGACATTGCCCGGACGATTTACTGCTTTGGGCTGTCCAGCAGTTTCAGCTTGACCCTCATCGACCTCGACTTTTCACCGACGATTTCATCGCATCTGGAAGTACCCACCGCCGATTCATGTTAAGCGCTGAGAACCCATCTCACACGCCGAAGCCTCAAGCTCAAAGATCTGTACGGAGTAGATAATGAGAGATGATGTGTTCTGAATTCGGACCCCGATTTCGGCGGTCTCATATCCCTGACGCGACTGTCCGGGCTGTCTCCCTGCCTCAAATATATCCACAGTTGTTTGTACAAGAAAATAGTCTAAAACCACCAACCAGAGAACCCAATGGCTTGCAGATTGCAGTCTTTCCCAGGTCAACAACGTCAATCATCCTCACTTTTGCTCTGCTTCCTCGGTCCTTTTGCTGCCTGACAGACCTGAAAACCAACTGCTGGGTTTCATGCTGTTGTAGGCCTCTTCCTGAAGCCTCTTCTCTTCTGCTTCCCGTTCGGCTAGAAACTTTGCACCTTCCTCTTGAATTTTCTTCTCCAGTTCCATATATTGTCTCTGGCCACGCTCTCTGATTTGATCCCAGAGCATCTTACCCTCGGACATTCCATCCTCAGGGCTCTGCATTCCATCAGGGCCGTGGCCCGACAGTCCTAGCATTGACGACAGTTTTCCCAGGCTCTTTTTGGGTCTCTTCTTCCGTTTTTCTGCTTCTTCGGCCTCGAACTTGGCACGGAGGAGTTTCTCTCTTCGCGCAAACTCGGCAGGTATATACGTCCCTTCAAACGACTTCAAAACTTCTCGTACATCGTCAAATCCCATTGTGGCCAAATATTCTAGGAAGGGAATGAATTGAATTAGTGTCTGGTCTTTGGGATCGCCGTTCCACTTGGGTAGGATGATGGCGTTCTCGGGCTGGTGCTTGACGTGATGCGGATCAGTGTCCATGATGAGCACCTTTTTCAGGTCCCTATTGAGATACGAGAGGTCCTTCTTGGGTCAGTGACTTGTCTCCGTTGAGGCTTTTGGCAAACTAACCTTGACATAACCACCGTCTTTGTACACTGTCGCTTCACGAAACAAGGGCCATCGAATCATGGAGTAAGGATCCAACTTTCGAAGCACCTGCTCCACCATTGCCATAGGCTGACTGGTGAAGAGGACAACTTCATAGTAGCTTGAGAGGTACCGGAGAAAGTAATCCACTCCGGGTCGCTTAGCTATCCGCCAACCTTTTTCACGTGTCCACTCGGAATGAACGAGCATATCCTCCAGGCTGATAACAAGAACGAAAGGATAGCGGAAATTGGGGTCCGGATCCTCGTCTGGCAGGAGTTTCGTCGTGACAGGGTCTCGGTAGTAGCTCATGGTGGAAGACAACCGAGCAGTGACGCGGTTGTAGAAAGGTTTGAAGCCCCATCCTGAAGGAGCATCAGGGTGTTTCTTCTCCTCCTCTTCATCTGCCCAGTTGCGGCCCAAATAGACAGAGAAGCCGACAGAGCCTAACCCCAAGATAATGTACATGTATCTGAACGCCGCATTCTTCTTTCGATCGCTGGAAGAGACATATTCTTCCCGAGGAATATCACCGCGATCTCGTCCACGTGCTCCGCTTGGCAGCTCTTCTGAAGGGTCTTCGGTGATGTTGAGGCTCGGGGAATGGGAGCTCTGTTTCGACCTTGCCTGGCGAAGTTCCGCGTCCAAGGTCGACGGGATGCCTTTGGTCAGATCAGGTAGAGGTTGTTGCGATTGGCCCTGTGTTGTCTGGTCACGTTCCTCTACAGTTTCTTGTTCCGCAGCAACATTTTCTGTTCGAGGTCCGACTGTCTCATTCTCGAAACCCTGCTGTCGTTCCCCACCCTCCTTCACAGATCTCTTACTTGCTTCAGTCACTGAAGCCGAGACATCGTCAAGATCTCGAGCCGGATCGGTGCCGAATGGAGGATGTTCCGAAGGGCCCTGCTGATTTGGGGACGGAGTCGATGGAGTGGCAGGCGCTGAGTCTGAGCGAGTCTCGGCCTTCGAAGCCTGGGAGGATAGAACAAAGGGGACCTTTCGCAAGGGTTCCTTTTGCTGCAGCGAGTCTTTTGAGGTACCGGGAATCTTGTATTCTGCGTCCTTCGCAGACCGATCTCCTTTGGAGTAGTATCGCAATGGGATCTGGGTCAGTCCTTGCGGAACCAGAGGCCGGACGGATCGCGGCCTCAACAGAGACAATGCTGCACGTCTTAGCATCTCTCAATCGACATATCCTCAGGGCGAGAAATAGGCATGCGATATCGATGAGCTGGAGGATGCTTGTAGCTTCCGTCGTCGGTGGAAAGCGGTTCTTGGTGATCGGGGAAATCTGATGATGGTTGCGTCTTGCACCCGCCCGGCGAAATTCTTTCGACTCCGACTCTCGACATCTTGGTCCTTGGCGCCTTCGGTCGCAGTCGCCTCCACCGCGGCAACTGACTCCGCATCTACATTTACTCCTCTTCTTCTCCTTCCTCCTCTTTCTCTTCCTTTCTTCTTCTCTTCTTCCACAAAGTTGATTTACACCCCAGAATTATTTGACTCGCCGTCCACAGACATATTATATGTTCGAGGAGTTGTATTAGCTGGGCAGAAAAAATTCACACCAGAATTGTCGTTCTCCTCAAGAGCGCACGAGAGGCCAGCCCATGATCTTCCAGTCGCCCCGTAAGAACGATACATCCCTTTCCTCCCAAAAAACCATCACGATGAGTGTATGAATGTCGCCGTCTCGAGAGTGGTGAACTACACGCGTACCAACCTCCGCTCTATCTCTATCCACTACCCTTCAAACCTGACCTCCGATGCCGGCGTCATGGAAAGAGGGTCTCGTCAATGCTTTTCCGATCCCTCAGGATCGTACGAAGCTGAGATATGCTTCGAAGAAGGACAAACATAATGTGACCATATCCACGGAGCTCGTTTCTGTTGTGGAGTCGTTGGAGACTGTCTCTTTGGAAGGAGACCCTTTCCCATTTCTCGACCTCCCAGGAGAGATCCGTAATAAGATCTATCACTTGGTCTTGTTCGGCAAGCCGGGCTACCGAGTCGTCAATGGTCGGATGCGACCTTCCCGCATAGGTATCATGCTTGCCAACAAACGCACACACCGCGAAGCCGCCTACATTCTTTACAGCACTTCAAGCTTCCGCATCTTCCCTCTCCAGGATTTCACTCCTGCGCCAGTCATACAAGAGCTTCGCCCCATGTATCGCGCCATGGTGACTTCACTGGAAATGGTGGTCGGCTCAAGCTGGACAAGCCCACCCAAGACGTGGCGTGTAGGTAAACTTCTGGCAAAGCGCCTCTCCAGGCTCTCCGCTGTTCACACTTTGAAGGTCTTTGTCGAGCTTGATCCCAGCTTGCCGATGTTTGAGAAATATCGGGTCTCGCTGGGCTTCTACACCGACTTCTGTGGAGACCTCTTACGGGATGTCCTCGCATGCATGCCGCACGTGAGCCACATTGAACTGAATGGGAATCCGGGGATCGACACAACAGGGCCACTGGTGTTGAGGTTGCTCCAGGAAGCAGAAACTAAGGGCAAAACGTGTACATTAGGATCAACGAAGGCGATCACCACCCCGGCTGGAGTTAAGCTGGCATTTTGGTAAAGACCGGCATTAATACAACTACTACTTCGTAACAGTCCTTGTGGATCCTTCAAGTCCTATTTGTATCTTGTTCCTGGACCCAAACCCAGAGTCATTCAAAGATCACTTGTAAACTCTTAGCTCTTTGTGAAGCCCAACGCCGTGCATGCATGCCCTGACGGATAGATACAAGTTACAAGCCGCGCCAGCCCCGATGCCCACCGCTCACAGCTCACAGCTCTTCGTCCACGTCCATCTCTCCATTCTGCCCCATTCCGTCTCGATGGGCACCGTTTGCGCCGTTGCCGTTTGCTTGGATGGGCTTCTTCGCCACACTTGCCTCCTTGTCGATCATTTGCCTGTTCACTGCGACTATATTGTCTTCAATCAATCTCTGTCCGACATCCTCGATGTGTTTCTTCGGATCAACCTTCCCTACGTATCTTGTCTTGAGTTGTTCAGCGGTCAATTCGTTCTCTTCTCGTACCCGTTTCTCGTAGCCCTCCGCAAGTTGAACGAGTTGTTTCAGGCCTTCCTCGTTTCTTTTGCGTTCTGAGCCAAAACTGGAGGGCAATTCGAGACCCTCGGTCCAGACTTCCTTGTGGAGGTTCATGAGCATGTTCTCTTCCAGGCCGGTCTTGCGGTATTGGATTCCGATGCTGTAGTAATGTCTGTTCAAGCCGTGGATCAGCGCTTGGATGGAGGGTTTGTTCAAATGGCCCAAATTCGACGTGGTTTGGCGGGGTTCTTGGCCCATCATGATGGCTTGGGGGTTAATAAGCCGGAATGCGTCGATGACGACTTTGCCCTTCACAGACTGGATAGGGTCGACAACGACGGCGACGGCGCGGGGGGTTAGTTGTTCGAACGATTGTTGCGTGTTGATATCGACGGAGGACAACCAGCATCCAAAGCCTGGATGGGAGTGGTACCATCCCACCACCACCTCTGGTCGACCTGTCTGGCGTAACATATCCATCATCCTTGTTTGAAAGACCGGGTCAACGGATTCGACGCTGACGGAAGTTCCAGACTGCGGCATTGCGAAGACGTCGACTACTCGGACAGTGAAGTCATCCACAAACTCGCCGAGCATAAGGCCCATAACTTCCATTGGCACACCCGCCCTGCCATGGCGAAGCATCTTTAGGAGCGCGAGGGAGGAAATGTAGACGGTCTCGGAGTTGTCGACTAAGTTCGTGTCCTGGCCAGCCTGGGTGCCACCCATGTGCGCTGCGGCGAGCATTCGGTTGAAGCGATCCATGGTGACTCGTAGGTGGAGAAGAGATCAAAGCAAAGAGGATAGAAAGGCGAAAGGTAGGGAGAGGAGGAAATGGTCGCAGACTCGAGATTGATAATCCAGATGGAGGTCAGTCTGTGGCGGAACAGCACGCCGATGAGAACCTGAACAGTCAAGAATGCCGAATCAAGATACAAGAGGCTCTCCGAGTTGCTGGATTCAAGGTAAAGTAGAACACTCTCCAGCGAGAGATCAAGAAACTGGTAGGAATGTGGTCGTCTGTCTCAAATGTGAAAATGTGAAGCTGCAAGGCAAGCACGAACTGCGCGTTCAACATGCAGATCCGAAAGTGGTTAGCCCCTTACGCCTCCGCAAATCGTTGGAGACGGAATCATGGGCCTTGGTGGCCCTTTGCCTCGCGCAAGATGGAATAATTCACTCTCGCCGTGCTTCCACCTGCTTCCCACCTTTCAGTTTTCTTTAGTCGAACATTTTCTCTTGCGCCCGGCGTCCATGTTCAAGAGAATACTTGCGCCTTGCCCGTCCAATCCTTCCCGTGTTCTCTAGACGATCCTCCTGCTCTCCCTGTGGTCGCCCCGACCGCTTGACAAGCTCCATCGAGAAAACGGGAACGGAGGGAGTGGAGCAAGACATTGGGAAGACCTGAAAGGCGCTCAATTTTATCTGTGGATTCATACTCATCCTCGTTACTCGATTCACCGTCTTTTCATTCCCTACCTGACGCCTCAACTCCCTCACGCCCACCATGGCATTCGCACCCGTTGATGTTCTACCCCACAAGCGCGAGGACAAGAAAAGAGTCGCCTACTTTTACGACTCCGACGTTGGAAACTATGCCTACGTATCAGGCCATCCCATGAAGCCTCACAGAATACGGCTAGCTCACTCACTGGTGATGAACTACGGCTTGTACAAGAAGATGGAAATCTACCGCGCAAAGCCTGCCTCCAAGTATGAGATGACCCAGTTTCACACCGACGAGTACATCGACTTTCTCGCAAAAGTCACACCCGACAACATGGATTCCTATCAGAAAGAGCAGCAAAAATACAATGTCGGTGATGATTGCCCTGTCTTTGACGGCCTCTTTGAGTTCTGCGGCATCAGTGCAGGTGGTTCCATGGAAGGCGCTGCCAGGCTGAACCGTCAAAAAGCGGACATTGCGATCAATTGGGCTGGCGGGCTACACCACGCAAAGAAGTCAGAAGCAAGCGGATTTTGTTACGTCAACGACATCGTACTCGGCATCATTGAGCTTCTGAGGTTCCATAAAAGAGTCCTCTACATCGACACCGATGTTCACCACGGTGACGGCGTTGAAGAAGCCTTCTATACCACCGACAGAGTCATGACTGTGTCTTTCCACAAATACGGGGAATATTTCCCGGGGACCGGCGAGCTTAGAGACGTTGGCGTTGGCTCGGGCAAATACTACGCGGTCAATTTCCCTCTCCGGGATGGCATTGATGATTCATCTTACAAGGGCATTTTCGAGCCGGTAATCCGAGCTACTATGGAGTACTACCAGCCCTCCGCCGTGGTTCTGCAGTGCGGAGGCGATTCTCTCTCCGGTGATCGACTGGGCTGTTTCAATCTCAGCATGAGGGGTCATGCAAACTGTGTTAGATTTGTCAAGTCCTTCAACCTCCCAACTCTCATCCTTGGTGGCGGTGGTTACACCATGCGTAACGTCGCAAGAACGTGGGCCTACGAAACTGGGTGTTTGGTGGGCGAATACATGCCACCAAATCTTCCGTACAACGACTACTATGAGGTAAGCATTCTCCTTTTTCGGGCCGAATACGTCTGACTCTCCTTCTATAGTACTATGCTCCTGACTACGAACTGGACGTCCGTCCCTCGAACATGGAAAATGCGAATTCGAGAGAATACCTCGAGAAAATCCTTGGTCAAGTGCTGGAAAATATGAAGAGGACTACTCACGCGCCCTCAGTCCAAATGACGGACGTGCCTAGAGAATCACTGGGCATGAATGACGAAGACGAAGCTGCTCTTGACGATCTTGACGAAGATCAGAACCCGGATACACGCCTCACTCAACGCAAGGCAGACAAATATGTCCAGAAGAACGGTGAACTTTCTGACAGTGAGGACGAAGAAATGGAAGAAGTGAATGGTCGTCCATCAGCCAGTCGAAAACGGCGAATCATGCAGAATTACCGACACATCATGGACGTAGGCGGCAATGACTCAGGTGTGGAAACGCGAAGCGGGACAGGAACACCGCAGCAAGCGTCGAGTCTGCCTGATGAAGCAGCAGACGAGATGAATGTGGACGAGGATCTGGACGATAAAGTCAACCAGCAAACACCGAGTCCTCCAAATGGTGAACAGCAGGTAAATGGTTCTGTTGTCGTTTCCGGTTTGCAATCGCCCGATCATCTTGCATCAGCTGAAACAGCTGATGGTGACGTTGAGATGGGCGATGCAGATTTGCCAGATGGAAATGCTGCACCTATGGACGAAGCTGAAACCGCCCGATCCACCGAAGCAGACTCAACGATAATCGTCCAACAGCAACGTACTCCTCCAGATTCACCACCCACGCCGGACGCTGAAGAGCACTCTCCCAATGCTCATAATACTGCGGCTCCAGAGACGGCAATGTCTGACGCCGAAGATTCCCACACAGTAACCCTTGCGACTCCCCTCGCGGTCTCCGCGAAACCCGATGCCGTTGGCACCCCTGAGGCAGAAGCAGCTATCAAGCAGGAAGCCATTGGCGACGACGAAGTCGCGAAGGCCCAGGAGGAAGGTCGCATGGAAAGGGAGTTGGCAAACACGGAAGGAGAAGCCCGGACGGAGGCGGTGACCAAGGCGGAAGCATCCGAGCCAGCCGAGCATCAAGGTCAACAAGGAGATGCAAAGACGCAAACTGATGTCCAGGAGATCCCGGCGGAGACAGGAGCTGATTCTGCACAAGGGTCGTAGGAAGGCTCTTGGAGTTTCAAGCTGCTTCGACGAGGAGGTCCACTGCTTTCTTGACCCGGGTGGTACAGGAGTATAAGGGGGTTGAGGGACTCGAAGCAAGGCGCCTGTGAGGCATGATCGGCGCTTCGATAAGGACGGGAGCGTTCACGACAGGGACTACGCTGGGGGAAAGCTAATGGCGTCGGACAGGGAACAGGACGAGGCTTGGCTGAGCTGGTCAAAATGATAAGCGGCTGGAGTCTGGCGGCGACGGTCTCATCTTTAAATCGAAATACGCTTTGATACCTTTCCAATGAATTGAGATATGTTTACCATTAGAAGATAACAATGCAAGAGTATTGCTTATCAGGATGGAAAATGATTCCACTGCCCTACCTGCACTTGTCCCTACGTCCCTTGTTTCAGAGAGCACCAATTCTTATTGCGTGGCCACTCGCAAGACAACCTTACCACCGCCCCTTCGTCCCCTGGCTTCGACAAACTGCATCGCGTCTCTCCCTTGATGCAGCTCAAAGACCTCCTGAACGTATCCCTTCAGTTTTCCCGCAGTCACCCACCGCGCAAGGAAATCGAGCTCCTCTCCCGAAGGTCTTACGATGAAGAACTCGACCTCCACGCCGGCGCCCGCGCAATTCCGCCGGATCGCTTCGGCTGTTTCTTCTCCGTAGACCTTGACCGGGGCGACAATTGTAACGACGCGTGCGCCTGGGTTTATGATTGTGTTGAGTGCTGGCGTGCTCGTGAGGAGGAGAGTGGAGAGAGTGTCCCCTCCAATGCAATCGACTACTAAGTCCACAGGCGGGAGGTTTCGGGAGTCGAAGGCAGAGGGTAGAGAGGTATATCCCTCAGAGGTGTAGTCAATGAGAACGTCTGTGGTGATGTCAACAAGAGACGTTACCAGAGCTGCAGATGCAGAGCTGCACGTTGCGACTACGGAGAATCCGGACGCTTTGGCGAGTTGGAGCGTTGGAAGGCCGACGGAGCCTGCTGAACCCAGGATGAGAACTCTCTTGTGCGAGGCCACCGATGGCGGCGATGATTCTGCTGACAGCAGAGGCAACCTGCCATGCGTGTAAAGTGCCTGGTAGGCTGTCAAAGCTGAGAGCGGAAGTGTTGCGAGTTGTTCCTCCCAAGTCTTGTCTGCAATGTTGGTGGAGCTGACTGGATCACTAGGCGCGAGGCTGAGCTCCTTTTCACAAGCAAGTGTATACGTTGCTGCTGCGCCATCACGGTCGAAGTCCAGAAGAGCCCAAACTCTGTCTCCAGGTGAGAACTCTGGTCCTGATTCTGCCTTGGGCGATGTGAAAACTTTGTCCACGACCCCAACTACATCATGGCCTGGGATCGCACCACCGCAAGAATGGAAGCGCGCCGGCTCAAGGATCTCTTGCCAGGTAATTTCGCCTCGAGTCAAGGCGGTAAAGAGGACCCGGATCAAGTAGAAATGCTGCAATGAGGCTGATAGGTCAGTCGTTCGGGCATCAGGATCAGGGTAGTCTGCTGATGTGTATTCCAAGTCCAATGCGGAGGGCGGTTTGCTTGGAAAATGAAAGGGGATTTCATCCCCAGAGGGTACACCGGGAAGATGGAGAGCACGCATTGCGATAGAGACGGATTTGAGAAAGTAATCGACAGTGAAAGGAAGTTGGACCTAGTGTGCCCTCCTTTTTCTTTCCTTATGTACCTTGCAACTCTTTTTTCCTTGGTTGCCCTCGGAGATGTCGACATCGCGGCAAGCATATGTTAGTCATCGAGAGCGAATGGTTAGGGTATGTCTGGCGAATTTGGAATTCCAGTCGCAGACTGGAGATGGAAATGCCTCCCAGAGAAAGGAGAGGACATGCTTGTTGCTCCGTGTGAATGTCGTACTCTGCGGAAGGTTTCGACAACGACCGACTCGTGGGCCGTTGGAGACGTTGATGTTATGACGACGAGGGCCTCCATCTGGGCCGTCTCGGATGGAGCACATGTCACTGAACCAATGGTGGGTGGACAGGGACGATGTTGCTGGTGGCCAGACGAAGACAAGAAAAGTGGCTGGGCTGTGCTTGAAATTAGACCATCTGCCCCCAATCACCTGTCATCGTGTCCCCTGTACCACGCCGTATCAACCGCCCGTGTTGATCGCGCAGCTTCAACCGTCATTAGTTGCTTCTTTCAACCACGCAACCACTTTCTTCTCCTTCTCCTTGGTGCTCTTTATTCTTGTTTATTGCTTTTTCCTCCCAGTATTTGGCGGTCCTCCATCAGCTCTCACGGTTGTAGTGCGGCCCGCGGGACATCTTTCTTCCTACCGACCCCGACCTCCCTTCGAGCTCGCCACAACCCATCCAAATCCTTTCTGCCTGCTCCCTCTACCTTATCGCGGTCCATTGCATCAGGTTGACGCAGCCTGAGGTGACCTGTCAAATCGATATTCCACGACCTCAAGAGAACACCTTCACAACCTCCGTAGTACTATACGGCCCCTTCCATCTCATCCGCCGTTGCTGGGCGTCCCAATCTTCCTGTCCGGATCCTCGGGGATCAGAGTGAGCAACAACATGCCTCTTTCCGAGTACTTTACAAGTCCTACATCCCTCTACAACCGACAGCTCCTTGGCACACTGGTCGCTCGAGATCAGATACCCTTCGCCGACGATGCATTGCAGATTCTCAAGAAGGTGCCTCCTCATTCTGGCCACCCGAACTTCGGGCACCTCACCCTCCTCGTATTCGAAGCTGTGTTGGAAGTGGTCTGTGTCAGTTTACCGGGATACATTGTGGCGAGACAGGGCATGTTCGACGCTGAGGGACAGAAGTTGATGGCGAATCTAAACGTTATGCTGTTTACTCCGTGTCTTATCTTCACCAAGCTGGCGTCCCAACTCACGGCGGAGAAGCTGGTTGATTTAGCCATCATCCCGGCCATCTTTGTCGTCCAAACCTTGGTATCGTTCCTGTGCGCGTGGATTATTGGGAAGGTCATGAAGTTCAAAAAGAGACAGGCCAATTTCGTTATTGCTATGGGGGTGTTTGGCAACTCCAATTCTTTGCCCATTTCGTTGGTCCTATCCTTGTCCAAAACGCTCAAGGGACTACATTGGGATAAAGTCCCTAATGATAATGATGAGGAGGTTGGAGCTCGAGGGATCCTATACCTCCTCATATTCCAGCAATTGGGTCAACTGCTCCGCTGGAGTTGGGGCTACAATGTCCTGCTTGCGCCACCAGACAGCTACACGGAAGCAGAAGGTGGGACCAAGAAGGAAGATCGCGTTGAACGAGGACGAGGAGAGTATCGCGAGTATACAGATGATGACCGCGAAAACCGTCGGCTTCTGAGCCCCAGTTATGATGGTATTCGAGATACCAGCGAGGACTTTGAAGATTACGATGACTACGAGGACGAGGATGATGACCAGACTCGCATCGGGACCGAGTCTCCAACGACGGCAAAGTCGGATGGTCTTAAAACTCCCCGTACTCCACACAACAGGTCCTCGAGGAATTCTCCCAACCGACAGCTGAATGGCTCCGCCCACGAGACACCGGACCTCATGTCTACTCCTACCAACGGGATGGTGGCTTCTCATCACAGCATCGACTATCCTGCTTGGCTGGAATATCCAGATCATAAGATGTACGACGAGGATTGCGGAGGCGTCAGAGGACACATCAACCGCGGAAGAAACGTGGTGCGATATCACTTTTTGAGATTTGGGCATATAATTCAGATGAGGTCGAGGCGGGCCTTCGACTCTCTTCCAAAGCCCGTGCAGAAAGCCCTGTCATACACTGGGGCCAAAATTGGAGCTTTCCTGGCCGGCGTGTGGGAGTTCATGAACCCACCGTTGTGGTCGATGTTGGTTGCGATTATCGTGGCATCTGTGCCCTACCTTCAGCACCTCTTCTTCGACAAGGGGACTTTCTTGGCAAATTCCGCTACTCGAGCAGTGCAACAAAGCGGTGCCGTCGCGGTGCCACTGATTCTGGTGGTGCTTGGAGGCAACCTTGCCAGAAACACCATCCCCAAAAATCAACCAGGAGATATCACGGACCCAAAGGAGGAGAAGAGGCTTCTGTATGCTTCACTGCTGGCGCGGATGGTGTTCCCGACTATTGTCATGGCACCTTTTCTTGCCTTGGTCGCCAAATACGTCCCAGTCAGCATTGTCGACGACAAGATCTTCATCGTGGTTGCTTTCCTCCTGACTGGAGCACCATCGGCGCTGCAGCTGAGCGCCATCACGCAGACGAACAACGTGTATCCCACGGTGATGTCAAACATCCTCTTTCAGAGCTACGTGGTCTGGATCCTGCCATCCACACTGATACTGGTTCTCCTGGCTCTGGAGACGGTGGAGTGGGCGACGAACTGAAGTCCTGGAACACGCGTCATTTCAGCAATGGAAAGTGAAGGTAACTTCTGTGAGCTTAATTTGTCGACCTTGGTTGACTGGGAATGGAGTTATGGAAAGGGTTACTTGTTGCTCTACCGGGCCATATGGCACTGCGAGCACCGTCGATGGAGCATTGTACTGATACAGGCCTGAACGGACGGATGGTGGGATATGGACAGACAGACCTCCGGATAGGACAACCAAAAGAGACGACGATCAAATATCTTCATGTACAATGACTTCATCCTATGCTATAATAGAGGATGAACACCTGACTGTGGGGTTTCTGGCTATGTCACTGTGGCTTATGACTAGTTGTCGATTCATTCTGTATGGCGCAGCGTCAATGTTGGATCAGGGCATTGATGCATCTCAGTTGGACGTCGGCTAAAGCCTCATACGTATCCACCGATGTAGAATGACGTCGGATGGTGGGAATTGGGGGCACCGAGGGGGCCATTAGGGGCGCATCAGGGAGCGTTTGGGGGGAGCAAGGGGCGTTGATGCCCGGTGCCATGGCGCCTTAAGCTTGTCCTGGTTAAGGCCGACATACCCCGGGATCCCCGATTATGAGGTTTCATTGAAATGCCATACCATACCCCTTCTCTCCCATCAGTTCCAGCTCCCCGTCGGTATTAGGTGCCTTATTTGCTGCCTGCCAGCCTATCTGCCTGAAAGTTCAGTGACCTGCAGCTACCCAGTGGTACTCACAACCCCGGGAGGCTGTCTACTAGGTACCTAGGTTGCCCATGAACATGAGCTGAGGGATACTCCTGGTACAGTATTGTGTATACCCAACACCTAGAGGCGGCATCCTTGGGTACCCAACGCAAAACCTCATTCCTCACTTTTCCCGCCAGTTGAGGCGTGCCCTTGGGACTAATGCACCGCAAGCCTCAACCCATTTAGCTAAGCCTCACGTATTGTTCAAGCGTACTCGGTACACGACACCCACTCTGCCACACCCACCACCCCAAGCCATCCATCGACTCGTGCTGTATGGAGCATCGTAGAAGCTGATCGACACGTTTGATATCCAATACGAGCCTGGTCTGGGATTTTCTATCTTTTGCTTCCCTATCAAGGATCTCTTGTGCCTGAAGACACCTCATCATTATTTCACCTTCAAATATTGGGAGCGTATTCCCACCCTGCATTGAGTGCAAAGAGAAGTTCCCACCTTCAGCTCAGTGCTCGGTGTTTTGGTCTGAGTCTTAGCCGCTGCCTCCGTTTGCCTTGCCCTGGCCTTGCCTCCCGATTTGAGCTTTGTCAACCCCCCCCCCCCCCGGCCCCAAAAACGCCGTGGTTGCTCAGCAGATCCAGGATCTGGCTCTCCGGTCAAATGAGAAGTTGAGAGACAGCAACAGTTTCCAACAATTCATTGCGACTTTTGCGCCTCATCTCCCGGGTTCTCCACCACCAGCTCGCACTCTGGCCCTCACCTCGCCTCTTCCTCCGACGGTCCTTACCACACCGTTACTCACTCCCTCCCTCCCTAATCAAAGTGTATAGACCTGTCAATCACCGACCAGACCGCCAACCACGCTCTCGTTTCGTCTCGTCTATTTGCCGCTTCTGTTCCGCATCGCATGCCGCCTTGACGAAGCTCCATATCCCACGCGCAACTGCATGCGCACCGCGGCCACATAATACCTGCACACCCCTCTACCGAGTACGGAAGCACCACCTCCTTAGTCACCATGGACGACTCATCACCCCAGCAGCCGTCCTCTCCCGAAAGCTCAAAGTCTCCTGAACAACCACCTTCAGAGTCAACCTCGTCCTTCATGGCTTCGCCGACAGCCTCTTCTCCGCAGTCTCCTTCCAGGCCCCCGTCGCTGGGCTCGTCAGGAAACGGCATGACTCCTGCAATGAACCCCTCCTCCGCTCCGCTAGGTCCTGTCAATGCAGCCAGAAGACCTGGCCCGCTGCCTTCGCGTGCGAGCGGGCTGAACTCTGATATCCAGGCGAAGATGAAGGCGTTCTCCCTATCCCGGCAGGGTGCACCTCCCGCAAAGGCACAGGCAGGTGGATTTACCGGTCAACAGCACGGTGCGTTTCCAGGCGGCGCCTTGACAGGAGCTCCTCCTCCTTCTCCCAGTTCTTCTGCTGCCAACCTTCGAATACCTCCTGGTATGCAACGACCGAATGCGCCAAGTTTCGGCTCCTCACCCTCCCCGATCACCGGCAGTCCTCGAATGATGGGCGCAAGGCCTCCCGTAGGCGGACTGGCAGCAAAACGAGGCTTGAAGCCAGGTGGCATGAAATTGTCAGATGCGCACAAGCCTGCCCCTGCTGGACAGGAGGAGGACAAGACAGACACCGGCTCTCAGTTTAACAAGTACTCGAACATCATTGATACAAAAAAAGGCACTCTAAATTTCCAGAACAAAGCGGTCATCCACGGAAGCGGCATTGATTTTGCTGGTGGCAGTACCTTTTCAATTTCTCTGGACGAGGTCGACACCTTATCAGAGCTGGGCAAGGGCAATTATGGGACTGTTTTCAAAGTCAGGCACGCTCGGCCCAAAATGAGGCGCCCTGGTCTGGGATTGCGAGGCAATATGGTTCGGCAATCATCAGCCTCCATTCCAAGAGATGACGAAGAGACAGATTCACAATCGGACACAAAAGGGACAAGCGGGCTTGTCATGGCCATGAAAGAAATCCGCCTCGAGCTCGAGGACTCGAAGTTTGCCGCCATCATCATGGAGTTGGACATTCTACACCGATGTGTATCACCTTTCATTATCGATTTCTACGGCGCGTTTTTCCAAGAAGGTTCGGTTTATATCTGCATTGAATACATGGATGGCGGCTCTGTGGACAAATTATACGGAGATGGGGTCCCGGAAGGAGTCCTGAAGAAAATCACCTTGTCGACGGTAATGGGGCTCAAATGCCTGAAGGATGAACACAATATCATCCACCGAGATGTCAAACCCACGAATATACTGGTAAACACGCGTGGGCAAGTCAAGATCTGCGATTTTGGTGTCAGTGGCAATCTGGTGGCTTCGATAGCAAAAACCAATATCGGGTGCCAGAGCTACATGGCCCCAGAACGCATATCAGGGGGCGGCATGGCTCAAGTCGGCGCCAGCGGAGGTACCTATAGCGTTCAATCCGACATCTGGTCGCTCGGTCTCACCATCATCGAATGTGCACTCGGCCGATATCCCTATCCCCCCGAAACCTACGACAACATATTCAGCCAGCTTAGTGTAAGTCCTTGCGCACCTTTCGACCGCAGGCAATTGCTAACAAGTCTCCCATAGGCCATTGTGGATGGTGATCCCCCAGATCTTCCAGCTGATGAGTACTCCGAAGCGGCCATTGATTTCGTACGGGGTTGCCTGAACAAAATCCCCAGACTCCGACCAACTTACGCCATGCTGCTCCGGCATGCTTGGCTCGCACCACTCCTGAAGCCACCCACGATTTCCGAGGATGAGGAAGGTGAGCAGGCAGCCGAGGCCGGTATCGAGTCGGCCTTCTCAAATAGTGCGGCCCCCGACACTGCGGACAAGGAAGTCGCAGACTGGGTCAAGAGCGCACTGGAGAAGAAGAAAGCGGGCAAGTTGGCGTCGCATAAGAAGCCTGCGTTACACGAAGCGCCGCTGGATGCGGTTCCAGGTAGCCCTCTGCTCACTCATGACGGGCCTATGCCTTTTGGCGGGGATGCAATGGCACCTGATGTCAAGGCAAACGTCGGAGTGAAGGTGGACTCGCGGGATTTGTTGGCGGCAAGGGTAGAGGGTATAGATTTTGCTTCATAGTTTGCCCAAGTGTCTACAGGATGGCGATGGTTTCATGACCCAGATTGGGACCGAAGAAAGTGTAACGATAACGATGAACGACGAAAATGCATCACTCTCCCATAGAGCGGCCAAAATTCAAGATCCGGAAGGAATGTCCCATCTTTCACTGCCTGCTATATTACTATATTACTATATTACTTCTGTCTACTCGCTCACGTCGGGAATGGTAAAGCTGGAAGAACACCCGCTCCAAAAGCCTGGCGGTGATGGTGACTCTGGGTCTCTACCAAATTATTTGACGGGACATGACGCCCAATGATGTCAGTGGTTGGTTGCCCTTCGTGAGACGGCCTTGAATCTCTTACATCCTCTCTCTCTCTCTCTCTCAGGGACAACCACTTTCTGAAGACCACCGAACAGATCTGTCCAGGCCCCAAACGAGCCTGCTCACGGGCGAAGGTCTGTTATGCTGTACAGAAACTCCAACTCTCTCGTCGAGCAAGAATGGGCCTCGTGCGCAGACTATTAATCTGGGCAGCCGTGGATGGCGTCGTCCTCCAAGCTCATGGTCCTGCAGAGCACCCGAAGGCACTTCAGATCGACTACCAGAGCCGGCAGGTCAAGGAGCTTCAGAAATCGGATGCATTAGCAAAGAAACCAGCTCCATTGGAAGCTCACGGTATAGTCGGTAAGGACTCCCACGCCTTGGCGGATGAAACTTGAGTCGCTTAGCCCAGTTGTAGGATTACTCTCGATTGCTTCGTCTTCTTTCCTTATCGCAATCACCCAACGGGAGCAAGTTGCCCAGATATTTGGAAAGCCGATCTATGTCATTACGGATGTTGCCATTGTTCCCTTGTCTTCCCAAACCGAAGCCTCCCTGGCCATCACGACCGCCATAGAATCCCAGTCGTCCGACTCCTCCACAACTGACACGGATACCGATGTGACCGACACGGAGGGGCAAAGTCCTAATCCGCAGGACCTAGAAGAGCCCGAGACTCCTATCGAGCACAAGGCCCCTCAGCAAAAGATATCAAATCCCACCAGCATCGCCAGAGATGTCATTGCTAACCGAGGCCAATATGGACGATTTGCAGCCCAATGGTTTTCCAAGCAGGGCTGGGGCGGAGGCAAGAGCTCGGGCACCACGTCTGACCCTTCAGCGAGAAGCGACACGACCTCGAAGACGGGGACCAGCTCGAGTCCCGAAGCAGATGCGGCGGTAACAGCAAATCAACCTGAAGCCAGTACCGACATTGAAACGCAAGAACAAACCCATAGCAAAGATGCCGAGAAGTTACTGAACGACACCTCCATCACCGAAGCGACTCCCAAGATTCTCAGGAGGACAAAGATGATATTGACCTCGGGCAGTTATTTCTTCTCGTACGACTTTGATTTGACGCGCAGGTTAGCGATCATAGAGGGGCACGCAACTGCTCCTTCGCGCGAGACTCTTGACCCTATGGTAAGGTCACATTGAAAATCGTACAGAATAAGCTGGGTTCTGACTGGAGCAGTATTTTTGGAACCGACGTTTACTGGGCCCGTTCATGGACGTCAGGCACGATTCGTTTATGATGCCCATCATACAAGGCTTTGTAGGGCAAAGGACTTTCACGGTCACAAAAGCAGAATCAGAGAATCCACAGTCGGCCTGTGTAGTGGACGCCGAGCATGACGAGCAGTCGGCAGGGGTACAACACGCCATAAACCATGCTAAACAGGGCCTTGCCAACATCAGCACTGATATGCAGTCTTATCTCCTCACGCTGATCTCACGACGATCGGTCAAAAGATCTGGCCTGAGGTACCTTCGACGTGGCCTTGACGATGAAGGCAACTGTGCCAATGCTGTGGAGACTGAACAGATTCTATCCGCTCCAGATTGGTCTCCTGCGCGGCGAATACGATCGTTCGTACAGATACGGGCCTCTATTCCCCTTTACTTCTCACAGTCGCCCTACTCGTTGAAGCCGACACCGATGCTCCATCAATCACCATCCAAGAACGATGGAGCCATGAAGACGCATTTTCAGGATCTCAGGAGACGATATGGTAGTGTCCAAGTAGTCTGCTTGGTGGATAAGCATGGTCCTGAAAAGATTATCGGCGATGCCTTTGAGAAAAGGGTCCACTCCTTGCAGGACTCTAATCAACTCGAAGACGTCCAGTACGAATGGTTCGATTTCCACGCCGAGTGCCGCGGCATGAAGTTCGAGAACGTCTCGAGGCTTGTTGACAAGCTCGAAGATACTATCAAGAACTACGGCGAGACAGTGATCTCCAAGAACGGGATCGAGACAACCCAATCAGGAATCATTCGCACCAATTGTATGGATTGCTTAGACCGCACTAACGTTGCTCAGAGTGCCTTTGGACAGTATATGCTGCAGAAAGACCTGGCCAGAGAAGGATTTGAGATCGATTTGCTGCACGACGAGACCACTACCTGGTTCAATACCCTATGGGCTGATAATGGGGACGCCATATCCCGGCAGTATGCATCTACAGCAGCACTGAAGGGCGATTTTACGCGGACCCGTAGGCGGAACTATCGTGGGGCATTGAATGATTTTAGCCTGACCTTGACTCGATATTATAACAACATGGTCAATGACTATTTCTCCCAGGCAGTCATTGACTTCCTACTCGGCAACATGTCGTGGAGAGTGTTTGAAGATTTTGAGAGCAGTATGATGAGCAAAGACCCAGGCATATCCATTGATCAAGTTCGGCAGACCGCAATCGAGAGTTGTGCAAAGCAAGTGATACAGGAGCAAGATGAAGACCTTATCCACGGCTGGACAATGCTGACGCCGGCACACGAGAACACCCTGCGGACCATGCCGTTCGAAGAGGCGGTGATTTTGTTGACAGATGCTGCTCTGTACTGTTGCAGGTTTGACTGGACTACCGAAAAGCTTGCCTCTTTTGAGAAAGTTGACCTGCGATCTGTCTCGAAGATCCGGTATGGGACGTATATCACGTCGACTTTCAGTGAAAGACAGATGAAAGAAGAGCTCAACGCCGGGGTTGTGGTAGTATATCAGCCTGGAAAGGGAAGCACCATTCGAACGAACACGAGATCCTTACAGAATTATGTTGCGCCCCAGACAGACGACTCTGAGAATCGCATCGATGGAGGAACAGGGATCCTGTCTTGGCTCAGCCCCAGTTCAGCGCCAACGTCGAGAAAGCTGGCCATGAAGGTAATCCCAGCAGCAACGACAGACTCGGATGGAGTTGCTGGACCTCAGGCAGAAGCACCACTGGCGGTAGCTGAGAACATCGCAAGTGAGATTCGACGAGCGCTCACGGGGCCAACAGAACTTGGTGAGCAGCAAGGAAATGACCTTGTAGAGCAGTCAGCCATCATCTCGTTGGAGGAAGCGAAGAAACGGACCGGATATTTCGAGCAGCTAGGACATTCCCTTAAGAAGATGGTCTGGACATGAGACAACAGACAGAGCATAACATTGCAGTTCAGCCTTGTGTCTCCCAGAGTATATCGTGCGCATGCAACGATTGTTCTGCAAGAGAGTCTGTTTGTCCAACAAGGCACAACACCGCCCTTGTCCTCCTGCTGCCCCATTACCACCCCCCCCCCCCCGAGAACGGATCAATGTCGGCTTATTGTAAATCCGTCCCGGCTTAGTCACACTGCCGTATAGAATGTGATTGGCGGGGAAGGAGGGGCGCTAAAGACGATCTGGATCTGGGATCTCGCCATGCCGCAGAGTTTCATCCCCCCAAAACTGCTCTGCATGCCCTTGTCCCAAATTCTCCTCCACCACTATCTTGTCGTCTTGTGTCAGAACAGTGTTGGTGTTAACGACGGCCGTCTGGCTCGGCGTGGTTGGTGAGTGGATACTGTATGCCGAATTCTCGGCGCCCTGGACGACTGATAAATGTGTGGGAAAGTTTCAACTGACTTTGGCTTCTGTTCGCAGGCTTGAAGAAACGAGTCGGCTAAATTCACGAACAACCAACGACCTACCTCACTTCGCCTTAGTTCTCACCGCACCTAACGTTCTACCCCAGACAAACGGAAACGTGAAGCATTCTTGTCCCCTTCGCTTTTCTTTATAACCTCCTCCCACCACGACGTTGGGCACCTTTTTCCCGATCGAAGAGCCTCCGGGCAACGGTGCCCGTCATGACGTGGCAACCGGAGGAGGATGGGTTGAGGCAGTTATCGGAATACCTCAAGAATTCCTTGAGTGGCCATGACAGGGATAAACAAAAAGAAGCTGAGGTGGTGCGTGTTGACTTCCTGTCTTCTGTCTTTTGCTGCGAACAAAAAAAAATAAGAAATCTGGGGTAGAAGATCCCCGCGCGGGTTTTCAGAAGGGACAATCCCAAAACTTTCCAGAAGAATAATATCACTAACCAGGACATGGACAAAACAAACAGATGCTCATGAATGCGCGCAACAACAAGGATTATGTCAATTACCTTACCTACATCTTCAGCACGCCGCAGTTGGGCCAGACGCTGAACCTCGCAGCACCTAGTCTCTTCCTCATTCGGTATGCGGCAGCTGTCAACCTCAAGAACCACATCAAACTGTTCTATAGTCAGATCCCCAAGGATCAATTGGCATATATCAAGGTCGCCACACTCAATGTTCTCCGCGACCAGAATTCGCAGTTGCGCAGTTTCGCCGGCACTGTAATCACCGAGACCGTCCAACAGGGCGGTCTGCTTCAATGGCCTGAGATCCTGCAAGAGCTGCTATCGCTCGTGGGTAACAGCAGCGGAAATTCTGCGCCAGAGACGCAGGAAGGTGCGATGAGCGCTCTGGCGAAGGTCTGCGAGGATAACCGAAAATTGCTCGACAAGGAGTTCCAAGGTCAACGCCCCATGACTGTCATTGTGCCGAAACTGCTCGAGTTCGCCGTTCATCAAAACCCTAAAATCAGGGTCTTTGCGCTCAGTACCCTGAAGTCGTTCATTCCGCAAAAGTCCCAGGTTCTGTTCTCTGCATTGGACGTCTATCTGCAGACTATCTTTCAACTCGCTACAGATCCGGACGTGCAAGTCAGACGCATAGTGTGCCAATCGCTCGTACAGCTTGTGGACTCGAGACCAGACATGCTGGCGCCGCATCTAGATGGACTGGTCAATTATATCCTCACCCAACAACAGACGACTGATCATCCAGATCTTGCGTTGGACGCGGCCGAGTTCTGGTTGAGTGTTGGGGAACAAGATCAATTGCGAGATCAAATGGGGCCTTATCTGGAAAAGATCATTCCTGTGCTTCTCGCGGGAATGGTATACGGAGAAGAGGATGCTTTCAGACTGGGTGGTGAAGAGAATAATGCCGACGTTGAGGATCGCGCGGAAGACATCAAACCTCAATTTGCCCAGACCAAGGCGGGAAGAGGTGTTGTTTCAGTCGAGAAGGAGGAGAGTCAGCCTGGAACGCCGCAAGCAAATGGGACATCACAACCTAAGAAAGATCTGAGTGATGGGGAAGTTGAGGAAGAAGATGAAGACGAAGATGAGTGGGATGACGAGGATCCGGAGAACGCGTGGAGTTTGCGCAAATGCTCTGCCGCCGCGTTGGATGTTTTCGCCGTCAATTACCACTCGGCCGTCTTCAACATCATTCTGCCATACCTCAAGGAGAACCTCTCACACACCCTTTGGCCGAAGCGCGAAGCCGCGGTCCTCGCTCTTGGCGCCATCGCAGAAGGATGCATGGATGTTGTCTCCCCTCATCTTCCAGAGCTCGTTCCATTCCTCATCTCTCTCTTGTCAGACGAGGAACCCGTCGTTCGTCAAATTACCTGCTGGTGCCTTGCGCGCTACTCCGAGTGGGCTGCCCGGCTGGATTCCCAGGCTGATAAACAACGCTATTTCGAGCCTATGATGGAGGGTCTCCTTCAGCGCATGCTCGACCAGAACAAGAAAGTCCAAGAAGCTGGCGCTAGTTCCTTCGCTTCTCTCGAGGAGAAATCTGGCGACAAGTTGAAGCCATATGTCGAACCTATCTTACGGCAATTCACCGAGTGCTTCAGACGATACAAGGATAAAAACATGTACATTCTGTACGACTGCCTGCAAACCCTCGCCGACAATGTTGGCCCGCAGATCGCCAAACCGGAGCTTGTCGACCTCCTCATGCCTGTATTGATCCAACGATGGAACAAAATTCAAGACGACTCCCGCGAAATGTTCCCCTTACTTGGCTGTCTAGGTTATATCGCCATGGCTTACGGCGATACCTTCGCACAGTTCGCCCCCCCGATCTTCGATCGGTGCATCAAACTCATTTACGCAAACCTGCAACAGCACATGGCTTACATGAGCGGTCAAACCGTCGATCAACCAGACAAGGACTTCATTGTGACAGCATTGGATCTTCTTAGTGCGATCATCCAAGCCATTTCTCCAGAGAAATCAGCGCCACTCGTCCAGAACTCGCAGCCTCAGTTCTTCGACCTCCTAGGTTTCTGCATGGAAGATGCCACGACAGATGTGCGTCAATCCGCGTACGCGGTGTTGGGTGACTGCGCGATCGCACTCTACCCGAGTCTTGATCCCTACCTGCCCAAACTCATTCCGATCCTCATAAGACAACTTGATCTTGACGCCATCCCAGATACGGATTCCGAAAATGGCTTCAACGTCCTTGCCAATGTGTGTTGGAGCATGGGCGAAATCGCCGCGAGAGCACAGACCAGCAGAATCTCACCTTTGATCGAACCGCTCTACCGCGGCATGTTGTCGCTGATTACGAATGAAGAAGTTCCTGACGCAGCAAGTGAGAACGCCGCAACCGCATTGGGAAGACTCGGTCTGCCGTGTCCGGACCATCTCGCGCCCTTCTTGTCCGAGTTTGCAGAGCCCTTCTTGCAGTCCATGTCCAAGATCACCACGTCGCATGAGAAGGCCTCGGCATTCATGGGGTTCAACAACATTCTGGAGAAGAATCCTCAAGCCATGGAGTCCAGTCTGGCATTGTACTTTTCTGCGATCGCGCAGTTCCCCCTCAAAGGGCGGCAGGGACAGGAATACAGCGACGTCCGCGCCAGTTTCGCCCGGGTTATCAACGGTCTCGCCGGCCTGATCGGACAGGAGAGGTTCGAAGGCTTCATTGCCGGGTTGGCGGCGCCGGTTCGAGCCAAGTTGAGAGATGGATATGGTGTTGGCTCCGGATGAGGAGGACGGCGACAGAGTCGCGGGACCTGTGCGGTTTGCGGGAACAGCCACCCTTCATCCCCGCAAGTGCGGAATTCGGTGCATGGAAAATGAGGACGGAAGAGGAGACGAACATGAAGACAATGCAGCCACCAAGCCCCTTCAATTCAATTACGTTGGACTGTCTGGGAAGCGGAAAAGAGGGAGAGCAGAGGAGTCAATCCAGACAAAATCAGTTGGACCCATTGCGGTGGGGTAGGGAAAAAGCAAGACAAGAGAAAGAGCACAAATGGGTCGTCGACATGATGAACGAGACCGAGATGAGACGATCGATGGAGAGTGACTTGAGGGGAAAAGAGGATGAAAACTCTCGAGCTGGTCGGAGGGAATTGTTGGAATACGCCCATTCGCCAACAACCAAACAAACACACAAACAGCCCCTACGTCGAACAACGATTCTGCCACACTCGACGTCGAAGCGGCCAGCGGGCGGGCGTCCCAACAAGCGAGAAACAAGGAAAAGCACCAAGAACGCAGATGAAACGACATGACAAGACACGACACGACATCGTAACAGGACGAGGATGAGGATGAACTGCGCAATTCGAAGCTTGCATGGGGGCGCTGTTTTGTTTCGAAGCGAAAAGGGTTTCTCTTTCCTGATCAGACCGAACGAGCAAAACGATCTATTACCGAAGGGCGGGGGGAACCAGAAGACCAATCGGTCAGAAATTTGAATCGGCTGCTCCTCCCTTGGCCCTACTTTGCCTTTGTCTTGCCTTGCATTGTCTTGCCTTGCCTGCCCTATATACAATACTAGGCTGGGGCTGAGACTGAGACTGAGTGAGCTATCTCGAGACGGACGACATGTGCGCAGCTGATGGACTACACCGAGCCGAGCTGCAATCGAATGGGAAACACCTGCTTCTTTTTTTTTTCATGTAGAGAGCGTGATCCTTTAACCCCTTCTCCTCCATCCCCTTTTCTTTCATCTGTAGCGTAGATAGTCGAGAGTAGATAGCAGATAGCTTAGGTACTCCAACCCCCCCCCCCCC